AACGGAGAGCAGGAAATGTAAAGAAAAAAACAACAACACAAACATCTCTAATATTTCCAACTCCAATACAAACAGAGAGAGTTGGGAGCATAGAGAGAGATTAGAAGAGAGGGAGTGATAGAAAAAAGACAGAAAAAAGACGGAATGAGAGACACAATCTTCCTATCATCTGTCAGTACAGTACACAGCTACTATGGATCTTGCTGCCTCTGGGTTGCTCTAATGTACTCCTGGGCCTGAAAGTAGCTTATCAGTGCCAACTATAGACTCACAGCTCTGTTCAAATCATTAATGGGACACTGAACAACAGAGCAGGGCTGGTTGAACGCTTTGCTCCAATATATGCCTCTCACTTCCAAATAGTAAAATAGAGAAGGTGACAGAATATTGTCAATCTGATAAAACATATAACTCTCATAGGTCAGATTGATGTGTTTCACACTATATATGCATGCAAGGAACTATTACAAAGACACAGGAGGTTTTCCAAAATGCATTGTAAAAGAAATTCTTACAGGTACTCACAGCAAATTTCCCCTAACTGTTTTGTTAAGAACAGTGAGAGGAGATTCGGTTGGCCCTGGATTGACCAACTTCCGTCTTCTAATACTCAAGAACGGATGTCCTCTCTTTTTAGATCCCTACTCCAACGCAGAATAAATAATGGCTGAGATAACTCATTATTTCTATATCACTCAGCAGACTGGAATGCCAGCTCTTCCTCTTTGTGTACACACAATATATTTTCTGCATCATAGTATTACTGTACATCCCCATGTACAATGCCAAGTGTCAGAAGAAGTAGTGAAAGAACAGCAATAGACTCGAGATCAGTAAAGTTGTGCTATCTTAAGTGACATGTCATAGCTGTCAGCCCTCCAATCAAAAGAGCCTATTGGTAGTGGTAGCATTGTTGTCAAGATCACACTAACCAAAACCAAGGAGTACAAATTACCAGACAATGCCTTTAGAGGCCAAGACCAAGACCACTATACCAAATGGTATATTCCGAATGGAAGAAAATCAATTTTAGACTAGTTTAACTAGTTTCATCACTTTAAACTGAATGTTTATTGCTCAGCTCTAAATCTCTTAGTCATCAGGATTAATCTAGTAATAATTTCTTGATAGAATTATTATTTATCAACTAGTTAACATGTCTTGCCCCAAGTCAGAAGGTTCATCATAACCAAGTGATTACTGATAAATGAATTAGAATTGATCTTGTATCATGTGAGGCCCTGCAGGCTTGCTCATAAAGTACCATATAACCTGTAATGAAGACAGAATAAAATTCAGATATGATAATTCAGATATTTTTATTGGCTTAAAGAGAGTGTAATTAAAATTCCAAGGAAATTAACCCCAAAATAGTTGTATGACCCTTGTGTGAGGCTCATTTGAATTAGATTTCTAAAACAATTCGCTGCATCACAAGGCATGCAACACTGCAGTCATGAGGGATGGTATTTTCTTATTCAGCAAAACACTATAGTCCCTAATGAGCTATTAATCATTAGTGTGTTATCACTGTTTGGTTCAGAGCTGCTGATGAACCATTTATGCAGACAATGTAAAACTGATTCAAAGACATTGAGCAAATTTTTGTAAAAGGATTTATTCATAAAACATTTTCCAGACTGTTCTTTAGAAATTAATCCTAATCTAATTATACCTCTAAGGAGAAATATTTTGAGGAAGAAAGCCTGTATCAATTAAGCATTTATCTAGTGATTATTAAAAAAAAAAAAAAAAAAAAATATATATATATATATATATATATATATATATAAATAGTGTTTTTTTTTTTTTTTTTCGTTTTTATTTGAAGGAGCAACTTAGTCTAAAATCCATATAATCTTAATAAGATTTAAGTCTTGACTTTGACTCGGTTCCTCTAAAAACTTTGTCTTCTGAGACTGTCAGGAAAAAGACAGAATATTCTCCATCAGGATTTTGCAGGAGAGAGCAAATTTCAAGGTTATATTAATTACTGTATTTCAGCCTCAAACCGTCACATTGTCTTCTTGTTTGACTGTTAGTACTATATTCCTTTTTTGTACGGGTAAATATGCTTATTAATGCATTATAATAGAGTGATAAGATTCCTTAGTGCAGCGCATTATATCTATTCATATCTTTTGATTTGTTGTTTAAACATGAAGCACAACAAGGGATAAGTAGAGAGGATTAATCTTTGTTCATGCATGATGTATCTTTTGATCTTGTTGCCGTTGATATAGATGAGTTAAACAGGGTTTTTACAAAGATTAACATCAAAGAATTTCCGACCTGAATGGGTTGGATCCTTTATTGTTTTCAATTACAGCCAATTATATCCCAGAATCTAGAAACCATGTGGGCGTTGTACCTAATGAAGGAACTGATAGGGCATGCCGGCAGTTGTATCCCATCAAAAACTTAACTGCTTAAGTCATTGGAAGATTCCTTACTTGTGTCTTCCACTAGGCATTGGAAGTATTGCAACAAAGGGGAGTGCTGGCCTAGTGGTTTAGAGTAGTGCACTTGTGCTCTGTGAAGATTGTGATTACCTGGTTCGATACCTTCTACCTCCACTCTTGGTTGCTGAGTAAAACCCTTAACCTGATTGCTCCCCAGGCGCCACACAATGGCAGCTTACTGCTCATCCAAGAGGATTGGTTAAAAATGCAGAGAATGAGTTTCCCCATTGATTACAGTTTACATTACAAGTAGGACTCACAGGCATCATGACCTAGCTAGAACTTGGCCTTAGTTGTTTTATTTGTTTGTTTTTTTGTTAAATGTATTGTGCAGAGACTGAGTTGTAAAGAGACCAAAAAATATAAATAAAAAATCTGAGGAAAAAGGGAATAAGATTCAAATTCATATCAAAATTCCTAGATATTATAAGTTCCCTGTCTATAGACAGAAAATTGATAATAGCAATCTGCACCCCTTATACAGGAAATCTTTCTACAGCACAAACCACCAATAACAGCAATTCAATTAGTATGGGAATGTAACAGTTAAAGCACACAGAGTATTTTGCAAAATTCAAATCTTTTAAAATAACAATTAATTATATTGCTTGGTTGTAAATGTTTGTAATCCATCTTTTTTCAAATGGTGTACTTCTAGACAGTCCAGCACAAATGGAAGAACCCCAAAACAGCCTGTCTATATAAGGCTTTGAAAGCTATCTGAAGGTTAGATGGAAACAAAAATCAAATCATATATCATTCTTATTTACATCAAGTAAATTACAAGCCCAACGAGTTATTGTATCCTCAACAGCACAAACAATACAACACAATTCTATAGGCAGCTCAGATGTTACAAAATAAGAAAAAACAATCCTGGAATCATTTGTTGTTTGTTTTCATTGTGTGACAGATTTATACCAAAGCCATGTGATACTGAATTAAATGTTCAATTTTGTTCTCTATTTAGACATAATGGGTTTCACTTTGATCTGCTTGAATCAAAGCCACTTTATAGCTCTTTATAAACAGATGGATGTCAATGATCTCTTATCCGTTCTTGAATGTCTTTACATTTGAATGTGACTTCTTGCATTTTGGGATTTTTAGCCAACTTCAGTTTATCACACAGGTCTATTTTTATTATCTCATCTCTTGATTTGTAATAACTGGGAGTGGCTAATGACACTGAATCAAGGAATCAGGTTATATAAAGCCAAATTATAACTGAACAAGGTTGATAATCACTTTTTCACATTTGACTTGGTTGGTTTGGATAATATTCCTTTAAATTAATGGAAACATGATTCGGAATCTTGATATTTATTTAGGTCACCTGTGTGTGGTACAAAGGCGAAATGTGTTAAAACACAAGGAGTCTGTAAAGGTGTAAATACTTTCACAGTTTTTTATAGAAAGAGAGTTCAATATGCCAGTACATCTCTTTCACTTGTTTCTGAGAGATTGAACAGTGATATAAATCTTTATTCATCCAATTTTTTTTTTGCCTTTATGTTTTATATTTAGTGAGTGTTAGTGCAAAAAGCTTATTTGCTGATATGAAACAGCAATTTCACAAAGCTCCCGAAAGCTTTTACAGAAATGAAATCTTAGATCAGACAGATGAAGGGTCCCTCTCACTGTTCAGCTTGAACATAATCTGAAATGCAAAGTTTAATCATAAGTTTTTTTCCCCCAAAGTATCACATCTCTAAGAAAATTATTTTCTTTAGTGATCCTTGCAAGGACAAACCCATAAAATACCTTGGATCTGCAGTGTCACAGGAACAACAAAGCAATACTTAAGGACAAGGAAAAAAGGCCATTGTACTGTTGAAATACCAGACTGTCAGTCACTTTGTGTTTCTGCTATTATCATTCGAAGGTGGTGGAAACAGATGACCTTTCTGGACCACAAGCTTAGTCTACTAAAAATTCAATTAAGTAAAAGAGAGTGCAAAAAATAAAGAAAAACATTGTAACCTTTACCTTGACATTGATGCAAACCTTAAACAATGGTCCCTAAAACAGATGAAAGTCCTGACTTTTACCAGAATTTGGGGCACAAGAGCAAAGCGTGTGCTGTGTGCATACAAACATGCAGGTGATACCATTGGCAAAAGTATGTCACAAGGTATTTCTGTCTACTTCAAATGAGGATCTATCTGTTAAGCTTTTGCCATCTCCACTGGCAAGGCCACAGCAACATTTCTTATCTTCAGTCATTCCATTCCAGACATGGTTGTTTGCTCTCACCATTCATCTTCAAATACGTCCCTAGCATCTGTCTTCTTACCGCCTTTCCTCTTGAGGACTGAAACAAAGCTAATTGAAATAAATGAACTGGGGAGAAAATCAGACTTCATTACATCGATTGTGTTGGGTTTCTGATTGCCGCTTGTTGAGGGAATGTTCCAGACCTCATTGGTCGAGTAGAAACTAAACTGTCACAAAGAATTGCAGACAGTCTGAATCTGACACACTGGAAGTTTATGCAGTCTAACAGTATGGTCCTTTGATAAAAAAAAAAGAAGGAAACCAAATTGGAGCACCTTTATTTGCAAATCAACTTTAGAAAAATGCATATTCATATTGCTGATAACAGCCTATGGGTTATATTGTCAAAGGAAGAACTGTACAGTTTATAAATTTAGTACAATAAACAATATTCACAAAAGGGGCAGTGAGATACAGGAGAGGAGGAGGGAAATAACTGCACTGCATAACTGCCATCAAACAAACAGAACAGCAGGACTGAATAATATAATTACACTCGCTGTTTACGCACTCTACATTTTGAGTCAGAGGAGGTAGTTAAGCGCTTGTTAGTTAAGCTTGAGATAAAATTTTCCATCAAACTGGAATTCATAGGTACGTGTAATTTTTACATGTTCTTGCAGCCTGATTTGCCAATTCAGAGAATAATAATTAACCCAGTTCGTGGAAACTGTCTATTAATAACTGTGACTTTTAAAATGTATAAGCTTTGATAAATAAATTATTCTTTTTTCACAATCTACTTATTTAATGTTTTATATAATTTACATTTCCAATTGTATCCAATTAATCTAATACAATTAAAGTATAATTTAAAGGTCCAAATAGAATGTATTCTTAGGCTAAGTCATAGTTTGCATGCCGCAAAGATTTTAAAATATATAATTGTGAAAATGTAATGGTAAGGAGAAGCAATGTTACAAGAAATGCTTTATATAAACCATGGGAAATCCAGACAATAAGCAAAACCTGGAGATTGAAGACAATGGAAATTCAAAACCTAATATTACTCTAAAAGTTACTTTAAACAATTAGATTTAAATTGGTCACAGCTGCTGCATGAAGCCAAAATCAGAACTTAAGAAGCTGCAAAAAATTCCAAGATTATGTCCCAATAACCTAGCAATATCCTACTCTACCTAAGGAGCCGAGTTGAAGACACCCTTTTATCTCTTAAAGAAAGAAGAGAAATGTTGTTGTTAAGCATCACTGGGGTCTAAGTACATATTTAAATAATAAAAAAAGAATGACTGAATTGGCAGATAATTAAAGTTATTGAATGAGGTCACCCGATTTAAAAACAGTTTAAGTATAAATACATGTATGCTGGGTGACCCAAGTGGAGTTCTACAGTAGAGATGCCCTCACATGCAAATAAATATGTCATTTCAACTGGGAGGGTTATACTTTGAAACTTAATGTATGGAGATTATACACAAATCTGACATACATTTATATTTTCTAAATAATATGTTTTGTCTAAGATATCTTTGTTTTTGATACTGGGTTCTATTTCTGAAAGCCTTTGGAACATTAGAATCTAAAATTGGCTTAGAAGCAGATTTTCCCCTTGCGAGCAATCAACCATGCTCCCCTGAACATTTTTTGAGTCTCCATTCGCAGGCTTTGTGATAATAACACAATCAGCCAGAAGATGTGCAAATAAAAAAGGAATCTGTAGCACTGTCACAATCCTGGTTGAGTGTATCGTGCTGCTGAAAGAGCAATAAACTATCTAGTCCTATAAACCTACCCATGGAGACACACAAACATAGTTACACAAAAATAACAGAATCATCTGTAGCACCACAGCAGAGCAAATTATGCCTGAATAAAAAACGCAAAGAAAAAAAATACGATGTGCACACAAAAAATCTTAAGTCAGGCATTGAAAATCAAACAGTTCATGTAAGAAAATTTGCTCTCAGTTGTATAAAATATTTCTTGGTGCAAAGCTTTCCTGTTTAGAGAAGAGAACACTAAGTGATTATTTACCTCTGCTGAATTGCTATTTCTCTAAAAAACAAAACTCTAGCCGGCAGAAACACAGATGGCTCGAAAACCTTGTTAGGAAGGTTATAGAACGGAAGCAGTCCATAAAAGAGAACAGCCGTATTCGTTCAAGTAAGCATTGGGTTCAATAGCTCACTACTCCTAATGAATATACAACAAGGTAATTCATCGAGCAAAGTGCAGTTGAAGGGTAAAAAGGACAATTTATCATCCCTGCACATAGAAATTTAATTACAGAGCTAGTGTGGAATTAATATGCTCTGCTGGTTCACAACTGCTCTGCAATTGTTATTGTTGAGCAATTTAAACATGCAAAGGAGTATTGCAATTCAGATTTATTCAGTCTTGGATTTTGCAAGATACTAGAATGGCGAGAAGTTAATTATCTAAAAAGTCCAACCTAGCTGTCCCATGTTGCAGTAAAAAAAGAAAGACTACTGCTTCTTTATGGTGGTGTAGGGTAGTCCTTCTGAATCCAGAGTATAATTTACAGTCCGCAAGAAAAGAGTAAAAGAAATTAAATATTTCCAACTCTAATAATTCCCTTTTATAAAAATGTCATCCCAGTTGTTTGGTATCTTCTTCTTGCTGTGATTCTCACTGTTAAAAATCCACGACATATTGCAAGGTGTGTAGATGGGTCTTAAAAAATATACCACACAATGGAAAAGTTGACCCTCCACAGCCAGTCCAATTTCTTTTGTTGATTCTAGATGTGTTAGCCATTGAAGCATACTTGTCCAACTTGGAAGCCAAACTTCTGGCTGTTGTTGCCAAAGTCCAGTGGAGCAAAATCTATAACGGGGAGCAGCTCTGCGGAGGGGGAGACAATCTCTAAAATGGTCCTTTCCAGGCCTTTGCGAGACTAAAGAAGAAAAATTAAAATCTGTATTAGTTTCAGCTTTGGTTAATTTTAACTAAAAAGCTCTACCAACCTTTAGCCAAAATCACTAATGAAGTTTGGGATTTGAAAATTACAAATGTATTCAACCAGCTGACAGCAGCAACATTGTTGACATGCAAATTACTCTCATTAATGATCATTCCACTTTTTGCATCCTGTCTTTTCTCTAACGCATGCCAGCACTGACCTGGCATCCATCGTGCACTGGTGTAATGAAAGGGCTCTTGGCTTGTGTCAGTTCCTCATCATTACTGCCCCGGAAGCGGAGTGCATGCTGGTAGGAGCGGGAGGAGCTGTCAAACCAGCCAGCTGAGTTCTGACAGGTATAGGTGAAGCGCTGCCTGGCTGTGGCGCTTAGCAGCTTCAGGAAGGTCAGCTGAACTACATGCACGGGGTTCCCATCCCTGTCAATGTAAGAAAACTGAGTGGCATACAAACACGAGCATTAGTGTTCTGAAATGGAAGAGAAATAAAAAATGTGCTTAATTAAATTATTCCAATCAGACAATCAATACAAACAAAAAACAGGTTTCCTCTCTGATATGAGATCAGATTAAAGTAGAGGGGTTATGAGACCTCAAAACAGCTGCACATGAGAACCATGAATGCCTGTCAATGGGACACAGCTGCACAGGGAATTTGTGTGAATAACTCTGACAGCTGACATCAACTGCTGCCAATGTCCAATCAGAAGCTTTATTACATATAATCTTCCAAGTCAAACAAAATTATACAGTGATCAGATTTATGAACAAAGGAAAACCTGATCGAGTCAAATATAGAACTGTAAAGGTGTGGACATATTTGTTGCTACAATGCAAAAAAAAAAAAAAAAAAGAAGATAGACAACTATTTGAAAATACTGTACATCTGAAAATACGTGAAACTGGAGGAAATTCATCATTGTTTATTCCTCATTAAAAAAGACTGAATATGACCTGTTTAGCAAAATATTCATAATAATTAAACAAATATAATTGAACATGCTACGCTTAATTTAACATTCTGTTACGGCACCTTTCACTCCAATCACTGCTGACAAGCAATGTCTGCATTCCCTAATGAGAACTCAGAATTTGCCAGCATTTGGTTTGGCCTGCTCCTCTTAAGCAAATGCTCTCAGGTACACATTATTATTTTCAGATCCTAAGATCAATGGAAAGATTTAATGTCTGGGTTTGTAGGATGGGTCTGGTGTTTTTTTCTCATAATTTCCTGAACACCTTTATTTGAGTGCTCTGTTTCTACTGTCATGTTGAAAGGGCACTGACTGAGGTTGCGATCTCCGACTCTGGGCAGCATGTCCTGCTCCAGGATTTCTTGGCAATCCCAAGGCTTTATTGCCCTATAAAAAATCTCTGGCCATGTGTAACGGCTTCGCCCTACAGCAAAACCAAGCACCTTCCCAGTGTTGGGGTATGTTGGATGTTTTCTTTTTCTGTCTGTAAAAACTACGATGACTCTCCAAAAATGTTCCAGTTTTTTCTTCATTTTTTAAAGGAGAATTTTCGTTCAATTAAAGTCTAGATTTCTTTTGCAGCTGATGGCGCCAGTGGATCCCAACCCTCGTCTTCGTAAATGGAGCACAATGTAGTCCAAAATGGGACCGTCAAAAAAATGGTGTAGTTTGAATATGGAATTCAGCTTTTGATGCTTTCCTTTGAATCTGATCAACCTGAAATGTCAATTCCTCCTTTAAAAGTTTGGCTGCAGTCAGTTGAGCATAATAGTTTTAATACAATTTGGAGCTGTTATCACAGAATGATTAATCTATTGTCTTAGAGCACATCAGATTGTCCTTGTCATGTCTTATTTGAATTGTATTCAGGTTGATAAACACAGCAACACCAAACAACCCAATGGAACAGGACGATCATGGCTTCTGCAGGTAGGATCAAGCTTTGCACTTTTCTGTACTGAATCTGCACTTGGGCAAGACAACTTATCCCATGCCAGGTTAGACAAAGTCAACATCTGGAATGCTTTCCCTCTCTGCAACAGCAACACAAATTCTATCCATCCGTCCTCTCCCGCTTATTCCATCAGGGTCCCAGTGGGGCAGGTGCCTATCTGCAGCAGTCTATTGGGTAAAGGCAGGATATGCCCTGGAAAGGCCCCAAGTCTATTGCAAGGCAACACAGAGACATTCAACCATGCATACACACACACTCACATCTAAGGAAAATTTAGAGAAGCCAATTAACCCAACACTTATGTTTTTGAAAAGTGGGAGGAAGCTTGAGTACCCGGAGGGAACCCACACATGCATGGGGAGAACATGCAAACTCCATGCATAAAGACCCCAGCTAGGAATGGAACCCAGAACTGTCTTGCTGCAAGACAACAGTAAAACAAACTTCATCATCATAAATTAATAATAATAATAAAAAAAGGATTGCCTAATAAGGAGCTTTCTTGCAGTTAAAGCAGTAATATGCAATATATTGTATACTCATGTTGGAATAAACACATTTGTAATGTCCAGCCTTTTGTCACATGTACAAACAAATCTATCAAACCTATTCTAGTAAATATTTGAAAAAGAAACAAGTATATTTTTATTATGTCATATAGTCTAAATGATAAGCAGAAAGGGTACCAGCAAAATTGTCTTTATTGACCCATGTCCTACACACTTAGTCTTCTGCACTAATATGAATTAAAAAGCCTTAGTTGATCATCTAAAAAAAACATCTGTTTTTAAAAAGGTAAGAATGAATGCTAATTTATTTGATTTGTTTACCTGTTTGCCCCTCCTGTATTGGCTGAACCAGCTTCCTGGTTTCTCTTTGTTCCACGAGGACAGTTTAACCTATGTCCACAGGGGGCAGACAAAGGATGTGTATTCAAGTTTTTGGACTAAGACATGTAACATTTTACAGCACAGAATTTGCTTTACAATGCCAGAAACAGAGAGAGATGAAAAGCTTACCATCTCAATCTTTTTGTTAGGTTGCAGGCAGGTCTCTCCAAAGGCTGTAAAGTTACAGAAGACCTTAATGGAGTCTCTGTGACAGCCCTGGTTAGGATCTATCCAGTACTCTCCTAAAAGGCCAGGAATTGCGACACATTACATATAAAAACTAATACTTAAAGATGTTATTTTTTTGAAGAAATGTTCTTCTGATTAAGCTTTAATGCTCAGGTGCTGTGAGATAACCATTTTCTAACCATCTTTGTAGTCAGGTTGAACCATCATAAGTTCCTTGCAGGTCCTGGCTGGACTTTCAAAGGTCCCCAGGGGCTTTCTCATGAGCTCTACTTCATTCTTCATGGAAGAGAGAGTGGCAAACACCTCCTCCATTCCCTCAGCATCTTCCAGAGGCTGATCTCCCTGTAGGAACTCATCAGTGTTAAAATGGACATCTTCCTCCATTAATGGGGTTGCTCCTCCTGCATTGTCTGAGTGCCTTCGTCTTTTCCTCCTCTCTTCATGAACTGGCAGCGGTTGAACAAATGTTGCAGGGGGTCCCTGAAGGTTGGGAACATGGTTAAGTAGGCATTAAAATGGAACCAAAATGGTTGATGTTAGACTAAAACCAGCGTGCCATGATGTGGATCACATGGAGGGCTTACCGGGGGTCCTGGAGGACCAGCAGGCCCTGGATCTCCTCTGGGACCAACATAACCCTGAAATGAATACAGGGACAGGAGGCTCATTTCACCTTATGCCTTGTTCACACCGGCCAGATGCTGTATAGCTGCTACTGATAGGATTTTCCAGCTGTGTTCATCAGCCTTCTGTGGTTAAAGCTGGGACACACTCACTGTCACGATATGGTCTAAAATATCACAGCATAAACCAGACCAAAATCCTCTCAAAAAGTTCTAATAAAAAGAAAAGCACAACAAGGATGGCAAGGAAATCTGTACAGCAAGTTTATGTTAAATGTAGTAAACACAACAGTGGACAGTGATTAGGAAGCACAGAACATGCTTCCCTACAAATGTAATGTCTCCTTTGTCCCCTGCATATGTTCCCAGCAGCTGCTTTCCGCAAAGAGATGTGAATGCATAAACAAGACAGATTACAATACTTACCATCTCCCCCTTAGATCCTTTCTCGCCAGCTGCTCCCTTGGAGTTGAGAAAACAAATAACTAATCATTAAAAACAAGCACAATTAAAAGGATAAAAAACTATTAATGTTTAAATTAGGGAATTGCTCCAAGGCTGTTAAATATCTGTCAGACATGAGCTGATTTCAAACTGTTATCTCTAAGTTGGTTTTCGTTTATCCTTAATTTTTCTGCTTTTAATTTATTTTCTGATTATTGTCAGAATTGTGTTGAACAGAAAAAAAAAACAGATTGAGTTATGAAGGAAAGCAAGCAGTAGTAAAAGTTAAGGCACTCACAGACAGTCCGGGTGAACCTGGGTGGCCGACAGGACCAGGTGGGCCGACCACACCCTAGACATAAAAACAATCCATCATCATGTTAATTACCTTTATTTGTAGAAAACTAGGTACATGGCACACAATAATGTGAGATACCAGTTACCTCATCTCCTTTAGATCCTGGTAAACCTTGATTCCCTGGAAGGCCTCTATCACCTTTCTCACCAGGTTCTCCTGGGGGGCCAATTAAGCCAATCAACCCTCCATGGCCCTAAAGACAGAGATAAGCTTCATCAACGATGTTCTTCATATTGAATCACAAATAACTTTACACTTACTTTTTCTCCTTTTTTCCCAGGGTCTCCTTTTAACCCTGGTAGCCCTGGTGGACCCTAAAGTGGATGTAAAGAGTTTACAGCATTGCTGTAAATTCTGAATGCTTTATTTGACAAAAACATAACGAATATCATCACTTTGGAAAATCAATTTTCTCATTTAAAAAATATATTTTCTTATCTTACTATTGGTCCCGGCGGTCCGGTCTGTCCTGGTGGTCCATTCAACCCTTGCTCACCCTTTAAAACAGCAACATGGGGTCAACATGGTTATTGGGAGATAACAATAGTGGTCCAATGGATAAGTAACATTTTGCTTCTGTGGTCCACCCATACTAACCGCAGGACCTGGAATGCCTCGAAGACCTTCTGGGCCAGGCCTCCCTGGATGGCCTTGTGGTCCTACTGGCCCTGTCTTTCCAGGTGGACCTTGAGTTCCTTTAGTTCCCTATGAAGTACAAGCAAAGAGAGGAAAAACAATGTGTGATCTGCAGAAAAACGGGAAAAAAAGTGAAGCATCCAGTCACCAAGGTTAACTTTATATATATTCATTACTTTGACTCCCTTCATGCCTTGCTTCCCTTCTTTTCCTGCAGCACCAACATGACCCTGTGGAGAAAAGTTTAAGTGGGTTTAGTTGAAAATATCAGCTATGAATATTTTATTATTATAAAATAATCTCACCCTCCGACCAGGAGGTCCAGGTGGACCAGGCTCTCCAGAGGCTCCTGGTGGTCCCTAAATAAAACGTTGCAATTGAAAGCAGAACCATGGACTTTAAACACTAGGAAACACCAGCCTTTTTTAGGATTTTTTTTTTTTTAAGTCCAATAACTCACAAAACCACAAAACTCACAGTTTTTCCAATTTCTCCACTGTCTCCTTTAGGTCCAGGTGATCCATCAACCCCCTGGGAGAAGATTTATGATTATAGAGAAAAAATATCGAAAATTAAATTATTGAGGAAGCAATAATATAATCAATAAGATTCTGTTACATTGATGCCTGGTTCTCCAGGGGGGCCTGTATCTCCAGGGAATCCAAGAGGACCCTATGAGCAAAACAGCTGTAAGATTAAAAGATCAACTGTCTTTATAAAAGCTAAAATGAAAATAGCACATCTTCTCACAAGGTTGCCTTTAGGTCCATCTTCTCCTGGTATTCCTCTGGTTCCAGGTGGCCCTGCTGCCCCAGAAGGACCAGCATCACCCTTCTCACCCACATCACCTTTAGAACCCTGAACAAGCAGTAAAAGGGATCATGAAAAGGTTGAAGTCGCTACAAAACAAAGGTTTTAGCTTTTTATGAGTATAAATTTTGAAATGAAGCAAAAGTCTCACTGGAGGACCAGGCTCCCCAGCTGCCCCTGGATCACCTGCTTCCCCATCCTCCCCCTGATGAAAGGACAGGGTTTTAAACAATAAAACCAGCATATAGACTGATGCTCCAGTCTATTGTTAAATGCAGTTTGTTTCTCTCTGACCTTCTCTCCAACAAGACCTGGCTGACCAACTCCTCCAGGCAAGCCAGGTGGGCCCTGCGTGTGAGAAAAGGAAAACAAGGAAAGCTTTAACGAAAACACAGGCTGATTTTAAATATTCATTTGCTTTCTGAAAATATTATTCTGCTGTGTTTTCTGTTTGCTTGAAAACATTTTTGCTCTACAAATGCTAAAACCGGTACACAAATATCACAGCTTACAAAGAAAGTCCTGAAAGTCATCTGTTGCCATAGTCTGTGCATAATGTCTTGTCATAAAAAGTCCTTTTCCTCATATTTTGTCAGTTTTTGTTTTGTTTTGTTTACGCATGTACACACTAGACTGTGCAAAAAGCTTCTAAGGAAGAGGAAAACACACAGAGCAACTGAACCCTTTCTGTCAACAGCTTTTCTCAAATCTATTTCATTCTCTTCTATCTTTTTCTGTATCAATCTATTTATAGATTTGAACTACCTCTGGAGTGCTGCATGTCCATGTTTCTTGTGATAAAGCACTAACGTGAGCTTCACAGCTCTCTGCATCTGACTGCTAAATAATTTAAAAATAAAAGAGAATGCACAAGGACAGCCACTGCTTGAAGTAAATATAACTGCCTCTCCAGGATAATAGTCTTATGCCTCTTAATGATTCATGGAGTATTAAATATAACTCTTTTGCAGGGATTACATTGTAATAAATTTTAATATTTAAACTTTCAAAAGCAATGGGATTTACGTATAAAGATGTCCATTAAAGAAAAGAGTCGATAGAAAAAAAAGGCCCACCTGCTTAGACATTAGGGTTTGAAATGCCTCTTAATGGCTCAACATTTCAAGATCAACACTGCCATAATTTTATTTTATTTTTATATGATAGTGCAATATGGCTTAATTTTTGTGTTAGAAATCATAGGAAAAAAATCTGTTTTGTGAGCCATTTTTTCTCAAACCATATTGTTCACAACCAAAATATGTTTAAAACTATGCAAAAACACTCAAAATAAAGCATCATAAATATGGTTGTTTGAATAAATGGTTTTGCTAAATATGCTGATTGTATTACTGAATTAAATCCAGCTTTTTGTTGTTTTAAATGGTTTATTGAATATACATTGATTATATATGCTCTAGGTCACTGCCACTAGAATATTGTCATTAGGGACATTATTGTAAAAAGTTAAAAGAAAATGCGACTAACATGATAGAAAAGGCATTTTAGAATGAACTAAAAATATATCTTCAGAGGAAAATTATTTCTTTAATGTTGTTGTTATACTGTGAACTAAATAAAACTGTCAGCGTAATCAAGCAAATGGCCTTATTCTAACGTAGATGTAAATATGATTAGAAAAAACACCTCAGCTCCAGGGGGTCCCTGAGGGCCTCGTGGGCCGTGCTGTCCTGGAGGCCCCTGAAAAGAAAGAAAATAATAATTTCTATGTGGATCAAATATAAAACATTAAGCATTACAAAGTAAATGCGAGCTGGTGCCTCCTACATTAAATAAGAGTTAGATGTCAGCCCACGCTCGAATGCTCATGCAATGGCCCAGTATCTCTGATTATCATAGTACTGACATGATGAAGACGTCCAGACAGGTCATTACCCTCAATACGACAAAAGCTCCAACTCTGGCCCATTTTGCCTCTGACTGCCTCTCTCTTATTCTCACTTATTAATAAGAAACCTCTAGCCTGCAATATGCTCAAGCATATTCTCTCAGCCAGCGACATGTGATTTGACTTGTCTGTGCAGCTTAAGAGAGCACCAAGCAATTAATCTTAACAGTTCCTGGCTTCAGTTTTAGTTGAGTTGATGTTGAGCTGTGCTCTGAATCACTCTGAAGTCGAAGAGGGAACCTTGTGCAGTAAAGACACTGAAACAGAGTGACAGACATTCTGCACAGGGAGAGACCGTGTGGGACTGGAGGAAACACATATCCTTCTGGCACAGAAACATTTCAGCATTATAGGGGAGAACTCTGTGATCCGCAACATTGACACATGAATAAAACTTTCCCACTGAGTCCTCAGCTTCTCCCCTCTTTCCTATCTCTCTCTTGTTTTGGTTCCATTTTAATGCATTCCCTCCCTAATCTGACTGTGGAGAAGGCAAGCTATAGTGAATCTTGCTGAGCGTGTGTTCATGGCTGACAGCGTTGCAAGATGACTGTCACAAAGGAGGATGCTCATTAGACAGCCAAGGCTGAGGCTAATCTGATTAGCAGCTGTCACACTGTCTTCCTGCTCACAATAAGCACCCCGCCTTTTCCTTCCACTCTAACACTCCATTCTGTCAGAACTTTTTTCTTTTGCCCACCCTTCCTTTTGCATGCTGAGCCACCATGTTCAGACCCTTGCATCATATATTTTTTTCAACATTAAGCACAGGAATTCCCTTAGAACACACAAATTCAAAGAGAACATGTAAATTAAAGCCTATTGACTCACCATGATCATCACTCATATAGTTTTATAGACTAAAACCAGTGCTAATGACAAACAGATTGCAAAAGACATTAAGCTGGTTAGCGTAAAACAGACCTTTAGGTATTGCTGCTCTTCTACTAATGAATCATTTAGTTGTTAATGTTACTGTTGGTGAATGATAGCGATAAATCCCTTCTGCTGTCTCTCTATTCGTCAGTGCATACATTGTCTTCCTGGCTTGGAATGCATTGAATATTAGCAGAAGCTGAAGCATAATTAGCTATATTAGTTACACCTGTGTTTATTTCTGTGACGGCAAATCCAATTATCTGCTCTCACAAAGACGGTTTCCAAGGGAAAACACAAATTTAGATGAAATGCTCAAAATTACCAAAGCTATTGAACTGGGGAAGAAGATTAAAGCTTGGGAGCCTGAGGTAAAGAATATACATTTCCTTCTAATTTATTTATACTTGCCTCACTTTAGGAGTTAAGATGCAAACCCCAGGTTACCTGATCTTTAAAGATACTGTAAGTCTTAGGAATAATGTGAAAATAACAAGACTTAATGCTGAAGCCATGTGAGATTGATGGAAACCGATGTTAACAATCATCATCATCAAAGTTTGATATCCGGCAACACAATCAGCACAGCTGTTGCTAATTAAGTTAACTGGCGTAACTAATCAAAGTTTAATAAGCTCAGGTGAATTGCCCTTGTACTACATGCAGTTCAATCATAGTTGAGACTAAATTTACAACAACCACATTATAAAAACATGTACTGGATGTAAGCAGCTTTATCCTGAATGGTGACGTGATGCAGACTTGATGATGACCTTGTTTTGTTTTTTTTATTTCTTCCAAGCATGGCCTTTAGATGTCAGGGGGGTAAATAAAATGACCCAGAGTAAAGAAAAATAGAGAAACAGCTTTAATATGATAAGGAAAATATGTACTAATAAACCCAGAGATGGATCAAAACAACATAGTCTATCGAGGGCAACCTGTACACTGCTGGAGCCAACGAAGAGTCTCTGGGGGTAAAATGGAGTTCACCCGGTTTTAACAGAGAAACTCCAAACAGCATAACGAGGCTTACAGTTCAAACCACAAACATAAGATAGAAATCTGAACTGACAATCAACGTAACCAGCCCTTCCAAAGAGGTAGGATCCTAACACTCTGTGGCTTAGAGAGATAACTTCTGAGTTTATCAGAAAAGGGGTGAGCTGTATGTTTATTATTGTATTGCCATAGCAGCTGAAGACCCCCATGGTGAGGAGCAGACATGGATATGATATACTACACCATTTCATACCGACTTTATTTATAAAGGACTTTTAAACAACCACAGTTTCTAAGTAGACAGTGAAGGAGCTTCTCTACATTGCAGGGGAAGGCTACCCCACATATGAGGAGGAATAGAGAAAGCACTGTCCCCTCTAAGCTCACTTTTAGACCCACAGGAGCTGCTATCCAACTGACCTGAGGGCTGAGAAGGTAAGTATGCTTGAAGAAGCTCAGATAGGTAAGGTGGGGCAAGGTCATTCACACAGTCAGACAAGACTCTAAATATCACATAACATATAAATAACACATTTTTCTGACTTAGTTTGAACATTTTTGAGAAACACATTTGCTTTACCTGATCTCCCTTGTTATCAAAGTTTTTTTTAACAGGAGTCCTTGTGTCCCTATATTACCGAAATTTTATAAGAACAAATGTAAACAAAAAATAGCCTTTTAACAAAAGAAAATAAGGCTAAGTAATTATTTTGCAATAAAGTGGAAACTGAATAAAATCTGGTAAATGCAGAAAGGTTAGTCTCAGAATTATGCATCTGAGGCAAATGCCTATTAAAACTAAAGCAATATAAAACAATTTGCTCTAATCTCTATCTGACACCCAGGAAGGTCTGTATATTACTCTATATCATTTTGGTTATTACAGAATTAAGAAATCTTATACTGTATAAAAACATTATCTAGAGAAATACTAATGAAACAATAACTAATCATGACACTGAACTCAGGACCATAGACCATTGATTCAAGCTAACAGCAAGATATATTTCTTTAGACAAAAGATTAAAGTACGGAAGACCAGTTACTGATCTGTGTAAACCTAGCTTTAATGAGAGAGCTTTTCCATTGAGGTTTTGAAAAACATCAGACGCTGACTTTTATCTTAAAGCATTTCTCACAAGGTCCTTCCCCCCCAAAATCCACAAATTTTCTGCAGAACTGGTGCCCCTTCAATTGTTATCTTTAAAAAAGCTGTTCAATAAACCAGTCATAGAATTTTTGCTTCAAACAGTGTTTCAAACTTTAGAAAAAGAGCAAGAATATTGCTATATAAAATAGCTATGGCTTGATGATACCAAAGCTTTTTTAAGGTCAAACAGTGGATCAAAGATTTACAAATGAATCTAGAATATAATGCATCTTCAGCACCATTGACTTATTTAAAAATGTCATAGCATGCAGATAAAAAGAAAACACATGCATACATTGGAAAAACCAGAAGACCAATTCTAGGGGGCAAAATGCATGCAGCAGTCATGTTTTATGACCATCTTGCTAATTTATTGGCAGATACAGAAAAATGGTTTGCAACATTCATGCCCGATTTTCATTAAAAAAATACTGTGATCAGTGTTCATATTTGAATTCCTTTATATTTTATCAAACCTGGGCAGTGCTAAACCTACCATTGGACCAACATGCCCATTCTCTCCTTTCTCTCCTGGGGGTCCTGGCATTCCCTACATGGTGGTAAGTAAAATAGAGAGAGAGACATTTTAACTGTTAAGGCATAATTGAGTTATAAACTATAACAATAGGGCTATTTTTACCTGCAATCCAGATGGACCAGATGGTCCCTTAAAGCCCCTAGATCCCTCATCACCTTTTGGTCCATTTAAGCCCATTTGACCCCGTAGACCTGGCTCTCCATCCATGCCCTGAAATATCCAGAAGACTGTTAAGAAGATGTACAAAACAATAGCAGTATGATTTAAGTATGGTTCATACAGAAGGTCCTGGATGGCCGACAGGTCCTTGAATTCCTACGGGTCCAGGAGGTCCCTGAAAACAAATTCATCACAAACCAACTGAGACATATTGAACATTGTGATTAACAGCAGAGTGTCTTGAGATGACATGTGTTGTGAATTGGTGCTATATGAATAAAGTGAATTGAACTGAATACTATTAATGGCTCTCAAAAATAATAAGCTAAGTCTTTGTCAACTCACAGAGATAAATGGTTAGTATATAAGGCATCCGCTAGTTTAGGCTTTAGCACAACTACTAAATTTAACTTAGAACCCAGAAAATAAAGGTGGAATTATCCAAATCTTGGAGCATAAAGTCTTAAGCATTCACCAAAACACAGCAGCAACTGCAGCCTAGTTAAGTCCCTCAGCTACATTTTCATAATCTTTCTCACGCTAACATATTTAAAGTGCATCCTCATTAGTTCAGCTGTCAATTAATTTTGCTTCATGTTTCTAGTCTTGGCATTTCATAGATACCATATGGAGGCTGGTTTCCTACATGTGCCAGAGAAATCGTGCTTAGAAAAAAGCATATCTCAAGAGAGTATCCTAATCAAGTGATCGACTTTATTACATTTTAAGCTGGATCCAGTAAGAAAGTAGGAAGGGCACATTGATGGAATATGAATTTGTGTTTGAAGATATAACTTGTGATATATATGACCTTCAACATTTCAATGGGTCGAGTATTTAAGCTGTGAAGCCTCCAGCTGCATCTGGATTTGATGAGCTGCCCCCCCCCTGTCTGTTGCTGCCTATCTTCCTTCTGCTTTGGTTGTCAGTTGCTGCTTTGTTCTCTTCTTCCTTTTCACCTCATTACCCTCCTTGGGATCCTGGGCAAGACCCTCTCCTCACTTCCTGACATGAGTAACATATGTTCAAGGATGTGTGCTCATCACTCCGTAACATGTTCGACAACATGGCAATGGAGAGATGAGCCAAATTCAAACTATATTAGCCACTTAGGATGTATTTTAACATTTACACTTTCCTTGTATGACTTTTTTTTTTGAGAAGGTGTGTACCAGTCTACTAATACTCTTTTCACATCATTTGGGTGCTCTTCTCTGTAGGAAGCATACAAATCCTGATATGACTTTTATTTATCTTTCTGGGTCATCTTCACTCACTGTTCCACATTTCCATTGAGCTGTTTTCAATAAAAAAGTTTTTTTTTTTTTTTTACAAAACACTTTCATGGTATAAGACATAGGAATTACCCAGATAAATGTCTTTGTGTGCTTAAGAATTAAGAATGTTTAAAAACAAAATGTAGAGCATTGGGCAGCCCAAGAAAAGCTAAATGACTAACTATTAGATGGTTCTACAGATTTTCTAAACGAAAAAAATGCCACAGCTTGACGGACAAAAAGCTTGATGGACAAAAAGCTCTTTTTTATCTTAAACAATTCAAATAAGACTAAATTAAAAATGTAAAGTAATAACTTCAGTGAAATTATAAATTTAATTGAAATTATAAATGTTTTGTCCTCTCTATATGGTGCTTCTTAATATGGAAGCATAGGTCACTATGCTAGGTCACTATTTTCAGTATGTGTACTCACATACTGAAAATTGTGGTTGTGCATTTAATAGCAGCAGATAAAGATCGTATTTACAATTCCTTAACAAATATATATTGTAAAAAGTTGACTTGAGCCTGTCGATCTGGTCTTTTTGATACTAGATAGTAGTTTGATTAATATAATCCTTTTTTTATAGTGATAAATTGGACATATTTTAAGAGGATTCCTAATGTCACATTACAATGGCTAATAGATAATAAAACATTGGGGCAAAGTGATGCAACACAGTTTAGTCTTTTGGAGGAAGAAGGATGTGCTTGAATACTGTTAGGCACAAAATGACAGATTCAATTTTTGGTTCGATCATTATCAGGCAGTACTAATGATATCTTTATTGTTTAGTATTAGATTTACGCTTCTTCTCCTTTGCCTACCTGTTTACTTAGCATTTTTTTTTACTTTTTAGAAAAACATTATAGGGAACAAGCTGTTTAGACAACATAATTGTTCATTTATAGGGAGGGTTTCTCAGATGCTCATGTGTAAGCCAAAATGGTGTATTACCACAAGTCGTTCTGAAAGCCTGCTATAACCTGCTAAAACTACCATAAAAATAAAAAGCCTTGTGGTCCAAGAGTGATCTACTCCTGTAACCCCATATCACACCTCACCTCAGCATGAACAGGTAAAAAAAGGGTCTATTCCTAGGCTATATGGTATTTCTGCATTTCTAGTTACTTTGAACAGTTAATGCAAAACAAAAGCTATTGGTTAGATGTAAAGAATTAAGATTTTTTGACTTCACACTGAACATATTTCAGCAACTCTTCCACCCAAGAGCTAATGGCAGCTGTTCACAGAGTGCAGGGCGCAACTATTAGTCAGATCTTCAATTAGCCACTAACAAAAAAATGTTAGTTTTATTCAAATAAAAAAATAATTTAACTTACAATTTCTCCTTTGTCTCCTTTGCTGCCCTTTTGGCCCGGTCCACCTGTTTCTCCCTAAGTATGATATGACTCGTGAATAACAGAGTTAGATATCAGTACAAACTTCACAATAAAGCTGCATTACAGACTTACTCCCTAATGCAAGTACCTTGTCTCCGTCCTCCCCAGGAGGCCCAGGAGGTCCTATAACCCCGGGCAACCCTGTGGGTCCTAGTTCCCCATCACGCCCAGCAGGGCCAATGGTTCCCTTCTCTCCCTTATAAACAAATAGGAAAGGAGCAGATGTCTGAGAATTGTTCAGATGGTACCTACTGCCCTCATATTGCAGCGTGACACATTGATTAATGTGTCACTTCAGGTTGGCAAAATCACTTTCGAGATTGAGTTTGCATTTTGTCGCTTAAACTGTCTTGGACCTCTTTCTCATAATAACACTTTCAAACCCTTTATACCTCATGGTAGGAGGTAAGGTTGGACTCAGAAAGAAAATGAGCTATTTTCCATTTCTTACTGGCATGCCTTTCTCTCCATTTGGCCCAGCAGGGCCCACGCTGCCTGGTCGTCCTGGTGGGCCAATTGCTCCAGCGGGCCCAGCAGGACCCCTCTCTCCTGTAGCACCCTGAAAATAAAAAGCTGAGATGAGCTGAAGTGAGAATATCACATGAATCACTGTTTTATTTAATGCAGCGGCCACGATCAATGGTCACCATGGGAACAGCCTTACGTTTTATGAGTCTTCCTGTTCTATATTAAATCAGCACAGGTCAATAAATGGTATGAAAAGCAATTTACCAAAATTAAACTTACAGTAAGCCCTGGAACACCTGGTAGACCTTCTCCCCCCTTGAGACCAGCAGGGCCCTGTGAAAAAAATCACCTTCAGTATACAGTGAAAACTGCCTTCAACCTTCTAATGAGTTGGTAATTACTTCTTGCAGAAGCATATTTCTCAAACTACAAAAGCTGTTTTTTCACCTGCATTTTAAAACCAAGGTGCACATTTCATTGGAGTCTTCTTTTAAAAGTCAGGGCTGGTGGGGACATGGAATATCTGAAAGTTTATGTTACCATTGCACCAGGGGTTCCTCTGCTTCCTCTGAAGCCTTTTAGGCCAGCGGGTCCACTCTTCCCAGGGGTTCCTGATGGACCTGGATCTCCCTAAAAACCACACATACACACTAAGCAATAAATGCATGGTGGGTAACTAGAGAATAAAAGCTGTCACAAACCGCACAAAAACAGCAAATCTTTCAGAGGTAGTGTATCTATTTTCTACGTCATACACTTAACGCTTTAAGCTTTTCTCTTTACATTATCAGTTAATTAGAGAAGTCAGGATTAGACTGAGAAGATAAGATATTCAGGCAGTGCTAAAGAAAGTGTTAAGGTTATCTAATAGTATTATTCATAGTAATAGGTGACCTGACAAACTGATGAATAGCTCTCACCTTAGCACCCTCCTTTCCAGCAGTTCCTGGTAAACCGTGCTCACCTGGTGGTCCTGGTGAACCTGGATGACCTCTATCTCCAGCTGGCCCTGTCTCACCAGATTTTCCCTGAAGATAAAAGACACTATGTAACAGCTAAGCATAAACATCTTGTATCAGTACAGATTACAAAGAAAAATATAAAAATAAAAAAATAAAACAGCTGAGACTCCTTTGATTAATCTGTTTACCTGTGGCCCAACAACTCCTGGGGGGCCAGGTGGTCCATTCTTGCCTTGGAAACCCTGAGGGAAGAGAAGTTAGGTAGGTTGCTGAACATCAGTTAAGCTGATTCGGAGCAAGTTCAGGCAAAGAAGGAATATTTTTATTAGAATCAATGAATCATGTGTAATCTCAGCGTGATCTACTCTACTCAATAAATACACTCCTAATAACATTTTTATCCTCACTTTAACAAATGTGTATATGAAAAAAAATGACTCACTGGTTCTCCTCTCTGACCTGGATGACCTGGTAATCCATCCTTCCCTGGTAGACCCTGAAAATAAGGATTTTTTTCCCTTACATCACTGAATAACCTAGAAATGTGGGTGAAATGTACACAGAAAAAAGGAGTATCATTAGATCATAAAGCAAGCATTTAACCTACTCACATTGGGTCCCTTCGGTCCTGTTTCTCCATTTTGACCTTGTGGCCCTTGAGGACCCTAAAAAATAAGAACAAAATCACATTTCACATTATTTGCAGCCAGGTTCATACAGTCTAGTGGTAACCAAAATCCCTCCTTAAGGGCCACAATTCTCCATGGCTTAGATGTGTCCTTGCTTCCTAACGCCTGAATTGAATATTTCATTTTTAAGCCTTAATCTCATGCTGAGGAGAATTTAAACATTTCAGTTTGCTCTGTTGCAGTAGGGACACATGTAAAGCATGAAGGACATCAGCTCTTCAGGACCGGAATTAGACACTAGGTAAAAGAGTTCTTTACCTGTTCTCCAGGAGATCCTGGAGGACCATCTTGTCCAGCTGATCCCTGCCAAGAGGAAAAAGCAAAAGCCAAACAAAAACTCATTTAAGATTATTTACTGAAACTGTTATTTATCTGTTTAACTCTCCCAACTTTGGTGAGAAAGTAAACTGAGCAAACCCCCTGCCAGACAGTTTTTATAACACCAGATGGCCTGTCATAGAAGTGAAATGTAACAACCCCCTCCATCTCGCTCGACACATTTATCCATACTTTATGAGGCAGCCAGGTGTGTTTATGTATGTATAACTGCATGTCTCTGTTTATGGCACAAAGCTTACCTTTTCTCCAGGCTTCCCAGTTGGCCCCCTTGCTCCTCTGTCCCCCCGGGATCCCTTTGGAATACAAGCATCTGCCTGATTAGCACATGTATGACTAGAGGTGGAAGATAAATGTATGATGATCTGAAAACCCTTCGGTGATCGGATGTTTGTGTCACTCCCAAAAATTGTTTTTACTTTGTTCTGCCTAATTTGACAAAAGTATTGTGCATAATCCACGCATGCTTACATTAGGACCTCTTTGACCTCCAGAACCTGGTTGACCAACAGGACCCTGTATTGTAAAGGTCAACAGTTATTTATCACTTAGATACTTTAAAAATATCCCAAGCATGAAGCTTAATATGATGAGATGTAGACTAAAATATCAGTGTAGTATTTACCCTTCTTCCTTTTTCTCCCAGGGATCCGGCCACACCAGGGAAACCAAGTGATCCCTGAAGACATGTGGAAGTTAATCAGCCTCAGCACTCCATTTATCATACGTCATCCCCAATGTCTCATTAACTTATAATTAACCACTGTATCGAATTAAAGCAAATCTAATCCATGAGCCTTAAATACATCATTCATCAACATGTAATGAATTGATGTCTCTAATGAACTATAAATAAAACAGTCTTTCTGAATATGCCATTTATCATACTTTATTTTTAATATGAAAGAAGGTGGTCCACCAAAGTCACATTTGTAGCAGCCTAAACCTCTGATAAAGAGACATGCGAACATATTCCCCACTGGTAATAGTTCTTTAATGTGGAATCACCTTGGGACCTTGTCGTCCAGGGTAACCCGGCAGGCCAGGAACCCCGAGTTTACCCTGCAAAAAGGGAAAGACAAGAGGGAGATGAGAGGATTTGAAAAATGTGTTTTTCAGCACTTTTGCTTAAGCAGGATGCTACAAATATCCTCCAGACCTGCTAAATATGTGTAAAAAACCCTTAAAAAATTCCACCTCTGCAAGAGAAGCACATCCCTATACTACATCGTTTAGAGCAGGGGTCACTAATAGACCCAGATCTGGATCTGGAAGTGATGTCTCATGTGGACCCAAAACTGATACCAAATTCAGAAACAATTAAATAAATGAGTAAATGAGAGAACATCAGAAATCAGATATGGATGTTCACTGAAACAGTTGAAAATATTCTTTGTAGGTGTGTAACTTATGTAGAGGTTTAAAGCTTTGACCTCATATCCAAAGCTTATATAACAGAATTTGGTAACAAATATAAAACTACATAAATAACATACCTTCTCTCCTGCTATACCAGGGGCTCCTGGATCTCCTAGAGGTCCAGTTTGTCCTTTCAGTCCTTCTGGTCCATCTTCTCCACGAGGACCAGGAGTGCCAGAATCACCCTAAAGTTAAAAATGAAAGAAATAGCATGGCATGTTGGTTGATGTTTTTTTTTTTCTCTGCAAATAAAAACTGCTGAATAGTATCAACGAATGTCGATACTATTCAGTATCATTCTCACCCTGTCTCCTTTAACACCCATGTCACCCTTTGCTCCTGGAAAGCCATCTTCTCCCTAAAATTTATCAAGGAGTGGTGACAGCAAATGACTGCTTCTAAATCTTATAGTTGCAATATAGATTAATAAAAAAAACTGTCATCAGCTTCTCTCACCTTTTCCCCCTTGCTCCCCTTTAGACCTCTAACTCCATCTGCTCCCTGTAAAAAAGACAAAGAATATGATCAGAATATGTAAACTCATAAAAAAAAGTCTTGGGACCTTTTGTTGGACACATTGTAAACTTGGTTTTCTAATGACATAACACAGGGTTGGCTTCTAATCTTTATTGTTCCTAATATTTTAGCCGAGTAAAGATTCCCCCTGAAAGCCAGGCAGCAGTAGGAATTAAAACAATCAAATACTAAGAAGAAAATAATTTCACTAGTTCCATTCCATTAGACCCCCAGGAACTTAGATTTGGTTGTCTCTCCACGATCCCTGCTATAAGAAATACCCTCTAGAACCGGGGACCTGCCGTTTTACCAGTCAGCTGTAAGTAATAGACTCTAACTGTTGGGATCTGGAGGTTTGTCCACTTTCTCCGCCAGAGGGCGTACAAGATCTCCTGGAGCCTGAGCCGACCATACCACCTGTCTCCTATCTGCTCATCAGGAGATCTGTATTTAAGGAGGCGGAGGGCTTCACTCCAGTGCCAGAGTGTTTGCCAGTAACGGTTAGCAAGCCTGAGCCAACCTACCTGTCTGTGATCTCTGACTTTTGTGAACCTAACCTGATATCGTTTTCTCCTCTCTGCTTCCCAGGTTGATCCTGCCTGAATACCTGAAACTCTGGAGAGTTTCTCTGCCGGTGATCTGTCTGCTCGTTCTCAGTAGAACTCTGGAGAGCTCTCTGTCAAGTATCTGCCTGCCAGCTCTCAGAAGATTACTGGAAGGAAACTCAATCTGTGATCTGCCTGCACTCTGTAAGCTCTGCCTCCGCCTCTGCCCTCAGCCTGCTGACAACCTCTGGACCCTCAAGGTTCCCCCCCTCTGCAGCTCTGCTCCACTCCTGAACAGGTACTGACCTGAACACTCTCAACCTGCAAAACACCTGGACCTCCACTAATCTCTCTGTCCTCCGCAGCAGTGAACCCACTCGTGACCAGTCAAGCCCCCTCTTGGATCTGATCAAACTGTGTACATTTATTGAACCCCCTTGTGACCAGTGAAGTCCCCTCCTGGATCAGATCAAACTTTGTACATTTATTGTAAATAAATCTTTGAACTTTTCTTCTGCCTCCGAGTGTTCTGCATGTGGGTTAGACACTTTAATCCGAACATGACACTAACAACTTGTGTGTCCTTGTAGACGTGCGGACATATGAAGCAATAGAAAATTTCTAAAGTCAGTAAATATTATTATCATGCCTCACCTTAACCTTATCATGCCTCACCTTAACTCCTCGACTGCCTGGATATCCAATAGGTCCCTGGGCACCCGGTAAACCCTAAAAAAATAAATATTTAAAAGAAATCCTGTTATGGGTTTAAATATATAAAACATTAAAGGTGCAGTAAGAGAGCTTTTCTAACACATTTTTTACCATGTGGCTTAAATATCTCCCCACAGCCCCTTAGCAAGCAGTGAAATAGAAGGTCTGGAAGTAAAAATAAAATAAATGGTCCCCGCTACAGTGAGAAATCAATGAGCAACCCCAACTAATCACAAAACACGGTCCATTGTACACAACTGGTTCCTGACACGTCAATCATGGTCGTCTGCTTGTGCCTCTCCCCAGTGCGCTTACCCTGACACATGAACGAATTGACCCCCAATGCTCATGCAGGATGCCATGGCTGGAAGCTAGCCACTGTTATGCTACGTTCACACCTAAATCTGCAAGAGCAGCAAAAAAGTGCATGCTGCTTCATTTGTTATGCTTGTACAAGTTTACTTCTGATGCACGGCTGAAGTATCTTTTCTAGGGTGACCAGATTTGGGTTTCTGAATAGGAGGACACTGTTTTTCTGGTGTACTGTAGTCAACGAAAATCCCGGTTGCTGCTCTGGCTGTGCGGTGGAAAAATTGGGTCTGATGCATGGGCTGGGCTACCCTATCCTTTCTTTGCCTGTAAGAATGGCAGCTATATTTGCTGTGAGGGTAAAAAGTTTGAATCTATTTTGAAGTGAGAAAGCCCACCTGAACACATCGTCAGTGCAGTCAGTTCATCCAGATTACCATCCTGTCATCAACTATTATTTCTGTCACAGCCGCTCAGACTCCCCGTACACTGGCGGTGCACTTTCACTAGGAATCCCATTCAACAGCAGCCTCTGGCCCGGTCGCTTCAGCTGCGGCAAACCGCGAGGAGGCGACCAGTTGGAGGGCGTTTTTCATATAATTAATCCAAACTGCAGGCACCAGGATAATAAAAGCGAACATGTTTTGCCAGCAGATTTCAGTATTTTAAGGTAATTTAGGCGTTAATAAACTGTTTCAGAGGAGTGAACATAGCCCTCTGCATCATCAGCGCTGCTCCTGCTGCTTCATGTGTTTTGAAGGTGTGGTTTCGAGGGGTAGTCTGAAGGGAGAGGCATGGTTGTGTATGTGCAAAAATATAGCTAAAACCATTTTTTTCAAGATCTCCTACAGCACCTTTAAATGGTGTCACAAAGTCACAGTGTTCCAGTTGTTAGAACATTTTTTTCTTTGAATGGACTAATATTTCTTATAAAAATGAAAACATTAATGAAACACTAGTTGCCCTAATGACAAGCCTTATTGTAAGTTTCAGTCAACCTAAAATTAATAAATAAATTAATGATTCGGTTGCTTTATATCTCTCTACATCACCACAGTAGATGAGCCTCAGACATACTGTTACCCACTTGGATGCCTTTTTCTCCTGGTGGGCCCTCTCTTCCTGGGTGACCCTAAAGCAGAATGATAGATTTTACATTCTGTGAGCACTGGCCTAAATGCATCATTTTATATCTCTGCTTAACAGAATCTTTTGAATGAAACTAACAAATTAGAGGGTGTCAGAGTGAGAAATCATTATGGAGCATCATTGTGTCATAAAGCTCTGCAGGAACAATGCAAAGGGCAATATGTGAAGCTCATACAAATGTGTCTGACTGCAGCGGAAAATTAATTCCTTGTGATGAGAAAAGCCTCCCTGTTAGAAGATCCGTATTCCCTATTCTAAATGTCATGCTACACTGGATCAACTCACAACTTTCGCTACCAAGCAGACAGTTCACGTGTCTTACATTATTTGGTTCATTGCTGCAATAACTAGTATGCTAAATTGTACAGAGAGATGCTTGGTTTACTGAAAATATGAACACAGATCAGAATTTCTTTCTGTGAAAAAGTGAACTAAACTCATAGTTTGAAGACTGCATTTTATGTTTCCTCAGATTAAGACTTTTTTTTTTTTTTTATAGAACTCTATGTGCCTTTATATTTGTTCATCAGTGTATACTTACAGGAGGACCATCAACGCCTGGCAGTCCCTGCATGCCCTGTTTACCTTGGGGACCCTGCAAGAAACATAAATAGTATAGAGTACTAAACCATTTAACTTTATACTTTAAGGAACAAATTTACCACTAGATAGGTTACATAACATGTTTAAGAGTATATTTTATTTTTTATTTTTGCTTCCAGCTACATGATAGGCCCTGACAGAGGCTTTCTACAACCTTAAATGCTTTTCTCTGTTTGCTGAGTATTGATTTTCTGTCTAGACCTGTCTTTTCAGAATTGTAGCCAGAAGTGGTTGGGTCATACTGTCCTGCTTGGCCTGCCTCCCCTGGGTGTGTAGTGACAGGGGTCAGGGGATCACAGCTTTATTTCTTAAATTGACTTGGAGACATGTTCCCTACCTTTTCTCCTGGCAATCCAATGGGACCCTGAGGACCAGGAAACCCCTGAAGCCAAGCAAAGCATCAATCAGATTAAGTGATAGTTGATTTAGAAATGGTTAGGAGTCAAGATACCGCTTAAATCTTCACAATATAATTTTTCAACTTCCAGAAATGTAAAGTCTTCAGCACACTTCCTTAACAAAAATACACATATATCCCACAAACAATGATTAGTTAGTTTCTGGTATTTGTGTCTGTTACCTATGTATGGAGGACCAACTATGCCATATTTAAAAATAAATAAATGCTCAATAAATAAATAAGCATCAAATAAATTGTCCCCAAAAATACAATGAAAAAATAAATGTAGGTATAAATTGAATTATACAGTGAGACATAAATATATGAATCTCTTTTAATTAGCTTCTTTATTTATTCGCCTTTGTAATAATATTACATTATTTATTTATTGTCCGTTATAATTTTCAACTTCATTTATTTATTACTTTTTTTTTAAGTATTTATTTATGTGCATGATATAATATTTTTGTCTGTTTTTTTCTTCCTTTGTATTTTTTTATCCCGTTTATTTCTTCAAAGCTATTTATTTCTGCTATTGTTTTTACATCTCTGTATGCATTTTTTTGCCTAACTATGCAAATGAGGAGGGGGTGTGTCTTAGAGGGTCAACTTTATTTATTGAGCATTTATCTATTGATTGATTTCTGTATTTATTTTTAAATATGGCAGAGTTGGTCCCCCATACATATGCTGGCGAACCTTAATAGAATTTACAAAAATGCAAGAGTAGATAAGGTCAGACAGCGATTTAAGGATATTTGCTGGCACCTGAGCTCCTGGGTTTCCTTGTTGGCCTGGGGGCCCTATTTCTCCAGGCGGACCCTGAAAACAGATACAACAATGAACATACTTTCTACATACTTGTTCTATAGTGGGAGATGTATGAAAATAAAAGCCTTTCATTTACATCAATGAATTACACTCTTCACTTGTTTGTAAATATATAAACTGTTTATAATGTCCTTATATGTGATTTCATGTCTAGAGAGGTGACATACAATCTGAAGTGATGAAAAACGACTAACCAGGTTGCCTTTGGATCCTTGCACTCCATCAATTCCACTAATCCCCTGAAAAACAGACACAAATAAAAAATCATACTTGAATTAAAGACACTGATGTTCTAGGTATTATTGTTTTTTTTATAGGATTATTGTTGTCCGTAGTTCTTATATAATGTGACTTACTGGCTGGCCAGGTTGGCCAGGTGGCCCCCTTTGCCCAACAAGACCTCGGGGACCCTGAGGAATTAAAATAACAAATGTTTAGCAGCTAACCTGGATTGGGTGAGTATCCATTCAATTCAGCTCATTTCTATTCATAGAATGCCGCCTTAAGGCACCTTACAGTTCAATTAACTCAAATCATGCAGACATATTGGTTATTATTTTAATCTAACGAAACCCAGCTGTAACCATGGTAACATACTGCCAAACCAGAGCATCAGTCAAGTTTAATTACCAAAAATAAAAGTTTTTAAAAAGCTTTTTATTTTGGTCCTTAAATTCAAAGCTACATGGTTAATTTCTGAAAAAACCATGAAACATTGGTAATTAGTTTTCCATTACGTTCTGCTATTTAGAAATCAGACGCAAAATCCTTATAGACATCTTGCAAAAGCCTTGCAAAATTGATAAGATGTGAAAAACTGCTTCATTTGTATGCATGAACTCACATATTAGCCATGGAGGGAAATAAAGGAGTATATAAAGGTGCAGGGGAAGCTGACGGAAACACGTTTGTGCACATTATATGTTGAGTTCCATAAAGAAGAGTTGTGCTAAACCATAAATCCAAACTGGAGGGGGATGTAGAAAAAGCAAGACATCCACCATGTTTTTCAGTGACTGAACATGTCAGTGTTTTATGTGTCTGCCATAAAGACTGTGCTAGTTGGCATGTGTGCTTGTGTGATATGTTTTTGTCAGCCACCCTCTTTGTAGGCTGGCCAAGCCACCTGTTCCAAAGCCACATCTGTGATCTCCTGGGAAGTGATTGATATGGAAATGTAATCATTCGGGCCAGGATTTTGTCTCTTACCTTGCAGAAACTCTCTTTCCCTTTTGCTTGCTCAATCTATCTCATCTTATTCTCCACGACCAGATTTCTGTCTTGTTTTTGTGTCATGCTGTTCCTCTATTTCCCATTACTCCCCGTTTCTCTTCATAACAACTAAGAGTATTCCTTTCCAATGTTTTGTGGTTTATCAGACTTTTCCCTCACATGGTACATGGCAGCTCTATTTCCTCAAGCACTGAGAGATCCATTTGGATAGACACAACCATGCTGAGCTTTAACCTCTCCTACTGAGAGAAAGATAGAGGTGAGTTATAACCAATTAACCAGTTTTCACAGCAGATGCATCAAACAATGGCTGCTTCTACAAAAGAGTTGTGAACTTTCTGTCTGAGGTAGGCTGTTAGTTTTCTGGACTGTTTCCACAAACCAGTGAGAATCTTGGTGACAGATTTTTAATGTAACCTGGAGTGCAAGCCCATTAAAGTGGAAGTTTTTGATAGAAGACTTCAGAGTTGAAAATTGTGGACATATATATTTTTTTCACAGTCTTAGTTTTTGATAAGATGCCCCACCTAAATGAAGTAGAAACATGTCCTGATAAAGATTTGTAAAAAGACAATGTGTTGTTATAAATACCTGGTCATTTTGATATGCAATAATTTGTTGTAGTGCAATAGCAGCAATTTTTGGAGTTTTTTTTTTTTTTTTTTTTTTGCTTTCCCATCCAGTTTAATGTGTGTTGTGCCAAAAAAAAATTAAAAAAATCTTTGGTCACAGTTCATTAATGTTTGTCATAGTTACAGTTGTTATTAGCCAAATGGACTAGAGCTTATTTACATATTGTTTACGTGACACGTCTGACAAATATTCAGTCACATTTTAACAATTCAACTTTTAACAATTGAAGAGAGATTAAATGAAAACTTCCTCAATAAAACTTTGTAGACACCACAATTAACTTCGAAATGTTAAGAATACATTTTAACAACCTTTCATGCTTACAGGAAGTGTTTATGATTAAGATAACTGTTGCTAGAGTGAATTTGGGATTCTTGATTTTCTGTTGCTGCAATAAAAGTTACTTGTTAGATTTTTTTGTTTGTGCAAATGTTGTGAGCTTTGCAGACAGCAAAGACTGATTAGTAAAAGATTCTTTACTGAATTTGAACCATAAAAACTTTACCACTCGAGGGGTTTTGAGCATATTTGCAAAGAAAAGAGAATTTTTATGTTTAAGGCAATATCTAAATAAATACACATATTTGTACAGTTTTTGCTTCTTTAAAGCTCTGGGTCGGTTGTTCTTTCAGCTCTGCATGTCTTAGAGTCTATGTAATCCAGAAGAAGATTATTAGATTACTCAATTAGTTAACGATTATTTTAATAATCACAATTAATCTGATTTTTTTTTTTTATTCCTATTATTAAAAAAAAACATACATGGTTGTTTAGTAATATTAATAGAAGAAAACATAAATTAAACCAACCTGGACATACCCATAGCAACTGTAAAACTGGCTAAACTGAGAATTAACACCTGAAAAACAGTTTGCTAGCCTCTTACGATACTATCAGACACCAAATCTGATTATTACCAAGCATGTACAATAAAAAGTCTCTTAGAACCATTCATTTAACATGAAGTATGTGAAAAGATCTGAAATAGCAACACATGAAAAGTCAGGCACAGATTAAGATCAAAGTGATATATCTCAGTCAGAAATATCCCACTTTAGATGTTTTGGGACACCAGTAAATCACACAAGAGCCCTTAAACACAAAAGGAGAACATAAGAACAGTGGAAAATCGTCTAAAAAGTAAATGGCTATCCATGGCAACAACTAAAGCACCTCAGACATGGCTTGACTTAGTTAAGAGCAGAAATTGCACTAATGGATACATCCCATAGATATAAAACACCCATTGCCATATATTTCCTCTTAACAAATGATGTGATATTCTTAAAACTGCTTTCTGTTTCAGGTTATATTTATTTTTATATTAACTTTAGTTTGCTAAACTAAAACATTTCAATCTTACAAAAAACAAAAACTGATGGAAAATAAAAATGCTTTTTGAAAAAAATAAATATTTTCCTTTATATTTTTTTATATTTTCCTGTCAACAGTTAATATTCAGAGTATGTTGCAGATGAACTGTCTACATGTGTAGAGTCAAAATAAATGTTCTTATTCTGAACACTTACTGGTTCACCTGGTTGACCTCTTGGCCCCACAGGTCCATCAGAACCCTATAATAAAAAGAAACAAAAATGATTAGATCATTTGCAACATGAAAATGATCTAAAACTCTTGTAGATTGTGAAGATCTATATCAAGGAAAACAGTTCATTAGAAAAATTTGCTGTCTGACAGATAACAGTCTTCGAGCAAAGACTATCCGTCTTCTCAATCTTCTCAGCCTTCATCACAGATTGGCACTGTGCTGACCGAGCGGCTAGCTTTCATATCAGGGATGCGGCAGTTGGCTTTTATGTGTTTTGCAAACCTTTGTGCTGAATGAACTCCAGCCAGCACAGCAGAATTAATAATGCAGGAGTTTATGAGTATATTTAATCAAAGCCTTCTTAGACGTGTGATGCCTTTCCGTCTAAATGGCTTGAAATTTATTTATTGATCTAAAAATGGTTTTTCTATCTTAATGTTATCATAAAAAACAAAAACAAAAAAAATATTTTTAAACATGCTTGAGGTTGGGTTTTTCATTTTCAGGTTGTGTTGTTCATTGTAGTTATATTTTCAAAAGAATAGTGCTCTCACCTTCTCTCCTGGCTCTCCAACAGGCCCAGGAGGACCAGACCGTCCTCTGTCCCCCTAAAACATAAAAGCATTAGATTATGCTATAGCAGGGAGATATTATATTTTTCTTTTAGTGTGGACTGTCTTAAAAAAGCCATCATAATCATTAGATTCATAAGGTTTTAATGCATGCTAACATCTGAGAGGCTAAATTAAAACAGCCACAATGTCAGATTACCACAAAAAAAAAACTCACCATGTGTCCCTTGTTTCCTGGGAGGCCTGGCAGGCCATCAAAACCCCTGTCACCCTGAGATGTTAAAGAGAAACAAGTGCATTAAACTCTGGAAAACACACACACACACACACACACACACAAACTCACGCAGTAATGTGTAAACATTAGCAGCATTATCTTTAAAGTCTCCCCTGGCAGACCTTTCCATCTGCTTGTGTGTCAAAGAGGGAGAGTGAGCTTTCAGATTAGCTGTAGGTCAGCTAAAGTGCTGCTTTGACTGATAAAGACCCAGTTCGGGATCAAGGAAGCTGATTTATTCACTAAGCTCTTCCTGCAGCTGTTATGTTTTAGCTGATTTTCAAAACATATAATAGGCTTGGGGCTGGCCAGCACTTATTTACATGCTTACACTCCCAATAACACAAGTGGAGGTGGTGTGGTATTGTTAGAACACCTTACTGCATAAAATGTATGATCATTTATTATCATTGAAAGAAACGAGTCAGATGATTGTGCACCTTACCCAAACTTTATTTGCTGTTTATGCCATGTGGTAAACTTTACCTTTACACCTGTTTCACCTGGAGCTCCACGGCCTCCATCAACACCTGCACGTCCCTGTAAGATATTCAATCCGATCAGGTTTGGTTTTACTCTACATTTGGTACTGAATGTTTTTAACACAGAGGTACCCTAGAAATCTTACCCTCTTGCCTGGCTTTCCATTCATTCCAGGGGGTCCTGGAAATCCACGGGGTCCCTATGTAAAGATGGAAATTGGAAAAGATGCCAAAAAGAGAGTCAAGAACAAAAGTAGATCAATATTCTGACAGGAATGGTATAACAGAAGCTCAGAGAGATGTAGAGATAATATTACAGAGGGGCCGTTGTCTCCTTGGTCTCCTTTGAGCCCAGGTGGACCTGGAAGACCCTATGAATGAAACATAAATGTTATTTTATTTGACAGAGTAGGCAATACTATCAAAACACATGCAAACCCTTATAGAACTTCTTGAGTTTTCTTATGAAAGTGTTTGCTATACAAAGAGAAACAAGCAGTCTGCATGCATGTAAATGAAGTAAGAGAGACCATGAAACAAAAACAAAAAGTGTCTTAATTTTGACACTAAAATCCTCAAAATGGATTTACATTTGGTCTGAATCAGAGTAGTTACAATACTCACCACTGGACCTGGTCGTCCTGTAAGGCCTAATGGACCAGGAGGGCCCTGAAGTGACAGCTGAAGAAAAATCATAATCTTTAATATTCATGTTATATTAAATCAAACTGAGTACATAAAGTTTCATTTAATGTTATCATTCCTGATGTTCTGCTATGAGGCAAACCTTGGTCTGTTGCAGGATTGCTTGTGCTTGTGCTTGTTGGGGAGACACCACTGGCCCTTTCTGTGAATCGCCTCCAAACTGGAACTGTTGACAGGGAAAGAAGAGGTAGTCCCAATGCTCAATTCCCTCATGTAAATGGACTTCAGTCACACAGCCCCCCCTTGTGGTCCTGACAACACAAAACAGATGAGTGTGTATTCCTGGGCATATTGGTGTGTTATGAGGTCTTACTGGTAGCATGAGCAGGGTTCCTGGAGGACCTGGGATCCCATCAGCCCCAGGAAGACCAGGCCTCCCTTGGGGACCCTAAAGCAAGAGGAAAGAAAAGGGCAAAAGGATCAGCAACTGAGTCCCCTCTTGTGGGAAACCTAATATCTTCTGAAAACAGAAAGAAATACTGATGTGATAAGAATGTGATATGATTTTTTTGAGGAAATGCTTTTCTAAGATTAGGGGTAGAATTTGGTGAATAGTGTGTACAGTTAGGATAAATCTTCAGGAAATGAATTTAGGAACATGGTTGAAGAAGAGTTCACTTAAGCAGATGTTTTGTCCCATCTGCCAATCCAGATCTGAACAGCCTAACTCTCAGGGACTGCTTGTTGATATTCATGCATAGGAGTTGGTGAGGAAGATGATGAAAATAATGTTATGTATTTTGGCCCAGTTTTTTCTCTGTTTCAGGTTTTGCATGGCAAAGTCTAAGACTTCTAAGAAAAGTCCCTTGACCCCAAAGTGACAGAGCTCGCTAATGTGTGCATTTGTCACATTTTCATCTTAATTTTACATCTAAACTGATAGATTTGTAAGCATTACATGTAAGCATACTGATAGATTTGTAAGCATCTCCCCTATTGAACCACCACCTTTAAGTAACCCTAAAGGCTGTAGAGTCAGAGGCTTTAACCCTTGGCAGGCTCATCCATTGGCCTTAAGAGAGGAGTGAAACCAGCAACAAGTAGTTACTGGAGTTTTGGATTATAGTTTGGATTATTGGTTGAGGTATGTCACTTTACTTGCTTAATAGGAGCTGGAGTAGGTGTATCAGATTGATTATCACCACCTGATTAAAGTTGGACTATTGGGCTATTGAACCCACCCCCTGGATAAGGACTAACGAGGGTTGATAAGGGAAATAAAACTCAGACATAGTTCTCCCCAATAAAATATAGGCTTTTTATGGATTTGAGTTGGAAGCAAATACTTTCTGACTTGTCTGTGCTTATGTACTAAAGCTGAAGTTCAGACTATTGGAGTTTCTGGCTGTTGTGGTTTGGATGATGTTGTGCAACTGGGCATTTAAATACTTATGTGGGCAATGGTGGTGTTACCTGTGCAATATTTATTTTGAGTTTTTTTATTTGTCAGAGTTTTACATTACACGTCTATTTATTCCCTTAGATAAAATGCACATCTCAGGACTTAAATCACAGGAAATATCAGGGTCCAGTCTCTGATTTGGTGCTGAGCTGCGTTCCACACTCACCACATCACCAGGATCTCCCCTGGGTCCTGGAGGGCCTATTGGTCCAGCTGGCCCGGGAAGTCCCTGTAAAAATAAAAATGTACTTTGAATGAAAACACGGATAGTGAAAACTTTACTTCTTCAACATGTATTGTCAGGTCTTTCAAAAAGCTTTACAATAGTTTGTTACGTTCTCCTTGCTAGCTTGTAATGATGCATTAAGGTCCTCATGATCTGTGCACAAATAAGGGTCTATTTAAAACGTAACTTATTCCAGAAATTGAAAGAAATGAAATTGTATGTGTGCATGTACTGCACTACATGTACATGGACCCATTTCTCAGGAGGTTGGCATTACTGTTTTTAAATCATTTATGTTTGTATAAAATTATCCCATAATTAAATCTTAAGCTTTCAGTAAGTCTAAGGCATAATTATTTAAATAGGGTTTAAAAGTGAAATATTTTTGCACTATGTGTAATGAGTCTGTACAATATATTAATTTAACACAAAGAAAACTCTTAATGATATTCTCATTTTCTGACAAACATTTTTATATATGGTAGTTTGATCCATGCATGAATTATCATAAATTTTGATCCATGTGTTTAATATTAGTAGCTTACTTCTTGCCCGGGCGGGCCTGGGGGTCCTTCCACTAATAAACCCTGGAAACAAATACAAACAGTGTTTAATTTAGATGCAGAGAATATAAATTCCTTCCCCTGCATACAGAAGTCTGACTGCTATAATGATAATTAGAGTTCTTAAGCACCACACCGGTTCTATAATAGCTGGTTCTCCCTTTTGGCCTTTCTCTGCTCTGAGAATGGCCTGTAGTGGAGAAAAGGGAAAAAAAAATAGTATTAAATCTCAGAAATAGCTTTAAGAAAGCAAGAAACAACACAACTTCCCAAGTACAACAGCAGATTTACCTTAACATCCAATGTCTTAGCTCTTTCCCTCTCTGCAAAGTCAAAGTCATCCTCATATATTTCATATTCTTCATAATGTGTTTCATTTAAAAAGTCTTCATATTCAAGGTTCTGTAGAAATATAAGAAACTTGTTAGTGAAAGGATTCCCCGGTGTTTTGTTTGATTACATTTTATTTGACTTATCCTACCTCATAATTGGTAGAATTTGGACCCACATTTACTGTAGAAACAGAGAGATCTTCATTCAAGTCCTCATAAAAGTCATCTTCATAACTCACCACCAGTGGTGTGTTCACTGGCGTGGTTTCCTGCCGGCCAACAGTTTTAAGTGAGTCATCATGAACGCAAACCAGAGAGCAATAAGACTACCCTGAGGGAAAAAGTGCTTCCCTGTCAAAGCACATTTTTAAGAAAAATAAATGTTAGTGTAGTTAATTACGATTAACATGAATGCAGAAGGGAAATTAGCCGATAGTTTAGATCAGTTTTGTTTAACAAGGTGAAAGAGACTGACAAACAACAGTGTGAGCAGGACAAATTTATTATCTTGACAAACTGCCACATGACAAACACAGAGAAGTCATACAAATGATATATATTTTTATTTGCAGGAGAAGATAAAACTGGTAGCTTCATTATGAGACGTTGGGACATATCCTTAATTAGCAGCAATCCAAGCACAGGCTATGCAGTTTAAGTGAACCTGAAAGCAAATAATTACTGAGACGCCTTTTCGATTTGCATCTGCATTTTTTAAAGTTTACAATAAGACATGTAGTTAAAATTAATATTTATTTTGTTAATTAGAATGCAGTGTTCAAATCTTCTTTATGAAAATGAGGATTAGGTGATGATTATGAAGGCATTGGTTAGTTGTGATAAGTAACTAGGGTGGTAAGAAGAGGAAGAGGTGCCCACTATGGTTAGAACTACAAAGGGTGGGAGGGGTTTAGTGTGGATCACATCTACTGATAAATTTGACTACCTCCTTGGTAACCTTTGATACAGGCAGTGTACTGGACACCTTGGTGGGAGCCTCAGAGGTGAAGTCAGATTTATATGTAGGCATCACCATTGTGGTCTTGTCAACCACGTCAGTTGGAAGAACAGTTTCAAGGTCGCTCTGGCTTTGGGGTAATTTTGTTGGCTGCAAAAGTTCCTGTAACTGAAACTCGGGCAGTGGTGTAGTTGCTCGATAGAGGCCTTCTTCTAGACTCTCCGCTTCATGCTTCTTCTTTCTGGAACCCTTCTTGCCCTTTCCCTTGCCTTTGCGTTTTCCTTTAGAGCCTTTGTCCCTCTTCTTTTTGTCTTTCTTGCCTCTCCTTCCCTTTTTAGAGGATTTTTTTGATTCATCCGGATGGTTATTTTGCATCGACTCAATTTTGAAATGAAAATCAGAGGCAAAAATGGAAGAAGGAGAAACAAAAACAAATAGAGCTGTGAATAAAAACACAATTTTTTAAATAGGCAAAGCATGATGGCCTAGATACACGACTTTAATGTCCCCAATTATAATTAACCCTTCCTCTTAAAAGAATGAGAAAGAAAATCTCACTCTCGTAAGATATGCTTATATTATAAAATAGTATCTTATATCTTATAAAGACAATGGATATAATTTATATGCATTGTCTTTTAAAATTATGAATTTTTTCCACATTAGGACCAGAAACTAAATTGAACTGTAGATTATCTGGGACTTTTCGATAAACTAGCAAAACAAATTATCATTATTCTTCAAATTTTCTTCACAACTTAAAATCAGAAAAGAATGACATCCTTATGTGTTTAGCTTGCTTTTTACCTCGATACCCATAAATAAAAGCCGATGGAATAAATTGCCTACAACCTCACCTATTAGTGAGAAGTGCCATCTGTGTAATTTCATCTAAATAAATACAGGTGTTCAACAAAAGCCATAAAGCTTTTTTGGAGAATGGACCACACAAAATGGTCATGAATGTGTAGGAGGGTAAATCGGGGTTGGGTTATTAAACAATATCAAAAGCTTTAGGCATCTCATGCAGCTCTGTTCATTTTATCATCAGTTTATCATCTGGAAATGAAAAAGCATATGTAACAACTGCAAACTTGCAGACAATAACTCCCCCAGTAAACTGACAGCCAGGGGTAGGAGAGCATCAAGCCAGAGTAACTCTTAAAGAGCTGCTGATATTTAAAGTTCAGCTAGAAGAATCTGTTGGTAGAAAAACTAGCCTATCAGCCATGAACTCCACAAATCTGACCTTTATGAGGAGTTGCATGAAAGAAGGCAAAAATACGCCCTGATTGCAGCTTGCCATAAGACATACAGGGAAAGCACCCAACAATTAGAAGAAAGTACACTCATAAAAATAGGCTATATTTGTTTAATCTCCATTAAATAGCTTTTTGTGGTAGGCACCATCATTCTCACTGTAAAACATGATTGTAGCAACATAATTCTGTGGGAAGGAATTCTTTATTAGGGATAGTGTAAGCTGGTTATAGTTTATGGGAAGATCGACGGAGCAAATAATTCCAGAAAAAAAAATATTGGACTCTGCAAATTATTTGTGATAGGGGTGAAGATTCTTCTCCTTCCAATAAATAGTATAATTTCTTAGACTCAGCGTTCTGCCCTCTATTTTTGGTTGCTTTTTACTTTCAATGTAATTTTGTGTTTTTGTAGTTATTTTCTTGGAGTGTTGTGTTTTTGTGTTGCTCTCTGTTGCCCCCTTGTGCCAGATTCCTTTCCCCTTGGCTCCTTTCTAGCTGCTTCTGCTCACACCTGCTCCCAATTAACTGATTACGCCACCCTTGATTCTTTCTCCCATATATTGTCCTCCTCTGCAGTTCATCAGTGCTGGTTTCTCTTCATTGCTTGCTCCCTGTGTGTTTCTCCGTGGTGTCTCCTGGTTTTTGATTTCTTTATTTTGTTCCTGGATCTTTGTTTCTGTTGCCATCAGAATTTAAATTATATCTGCAAGAACTAATTTCTGCCTCTTCATCTCTACAATTGGATCCTCGCCTAAATTCCACCAAACCTGGCACTTAGTTTTGAAAGCATAATCATGTTTGAGAATGATCTAATGTTATCATAGAACTAAATCCACATTAAAATATGGGACAAAAATTAAAAATCTATATTGACAGATGCTTTCTTCTCATCTGACTAAGCCTGAGCTATGTTCAAAAAGAAAGTGAAGACTGTCAGTCTCTAGATGTATAAAGCAATAAAAAGTTGCACTAGGAATAGAAGCAAAACACAATTCTGCAAACAACTAAACAAATGTCAAATTTAAACAACTGTCTATTTTTTACCCCAACTTTAAACTCCTTCCCTCCTTTTGTTGGTCTAGTACCAAACATTAAAGGCCTTGTGTATGATCCAACAAATATTAAAACTATAACTGTTCCCCCATAAATAAGTCCCCTCCATGAGAGTTGTAGACTGTAATGCACTCCTTTGCCTGAATATGTTGCTGAAGGCAAAACATGATTTCGATCCACTTGCAACTATGGTCAGTGAGTTTGACGGGAAGTGGGTCAGTCTGGTGAAAGATGTGGAAATGCTCTGGATTAAGAGCTTTGCATTCAACTGTATTAATATAAAAGTCAGCTGCGTCAATACCAAGATGGCCTCATACTTCATTCTTTCATCAATGACCAGCTGCATGGTGTACTGTTCATTTATTTCACTATTTCCATCAACAAGACATTGACTCAGAACTGTGGCTCCTGTGACCCGTCCGTGTATACAGCTGTGTCTTCTCTCCTTATCTCTTTCATTCATCAAAAGAAATTTTATATAATCATCTTTATCCTTGATAAAATCATTTTCATACGTGCCTCAAGGAAGGAATAAGCTGTTAGGTCAAAGCTTCTGGCTTACTCTATAGATGTGTGTGTGGATGTGTGTTCTTTTTGGCTTATCTTCTCTGTTTTACTTCCACGGTGTGAGAGTGTGAGCTGCCAAATGAGCACCTGATATTAGAAATGCTTCCATGCTGGCTGCATATCAAAACAAGCTTCAACAGCTTGCTTATTCCCTCTCAATCTCAACACTGTCTCTTTGTGGACACACGTTGCAGCTCATAACAGTGTGTATTGGTAACGTAACATTTAGTTAAGTAGCTTCATGGGATTCCTGAAACTCATGGGACTTACTGAAACCCCTTTAATAGTCGTAATCACTAGGATTCAATAAACAGAGGCTAGAAGGGTTACCTAATTCATGTTATACAAATTATGACCTGCAAACATAGAATGAACCAAGCTGACACTTAAAAATTAAGTTATGACAGAAGTAAAACACAGACTTTGAATAATTTACTGACATGTACTGGAATGCATAAACAACAACAGCACTGTTTTATCTAATAAGAATTTCCTGATTCCTTCCAGTACTGACCTCCTGTTGGTCCAGAGTATGATTGTTGTACGGCAAAGCAAAGTCACAATCAGGCATGAAGTTTAAACAGTAGTTGGCAGCAACCTGAGGGTCATCCACAATCATCAGTTGCTGAATATCTCCCTGAAATTAAAAAATAAAATACAAAAACAGGGAAGAATATAAAAAAATAATAATGAAAACAGAGATAAGAGACATTTTAGAAAAGAAAATTGAATTGAAAATTGAATCATAAGACTGAGGAGCCAGATGTATATCAAAATGTAAGATTAATTAAAGTGATCATGCAGATACAGACAATTGCATACAGTACTCCTAGAACAACAGGAGGGCATTCTTTTTTTATAAGAAACAGTCACAAAGCTTTTTCTTGCCCAATTGTCAGGACCTTTAATTTCCCATTCCACCCTCCAGGCACCGCCAGAGCATATTTACAAACATGAACAGAGACAGCACTGCTGCACCCTGCAGCTTTGAGCCCACGGGCTTGTCTCACATTAGCATCTGCATCAACATCTCCCCATAACATTACAGAATATTCATTGGCTTTTAGAAGACTAGAGGAACTTTTGATGCACGCTGTGAAAGAAGATTAGGATGCATATCAAAGAATAATTGATCAATGAAAACACTAAACCCAATTCTCCATGCAGCAATGTTCAAATAAATACTTACTTACAGCTAAAAGCACATGTTTGTTTTATTTCTATCTTTTATTGTTTTGCTGTTGTATTTTTTGTCTTGCTGAAATGTTTCAAGTCATCAAACAAATCTTAAAGAGTCAATAAAGAAATTACAATTACAATATACAAAACACATACCCACCCACCCCAGTCAAGGCAAGAGTGATGATGTAGTGCAGCTAAGTTGAAGTTGTGCTAATACTGTTGAGGAAAGCAAAGGCTTCTTATGTTCTTCCATGTTTGTGGGTTGCTGCTCTTTTTACCAAATAAAATACTGAATGTTGTGCTCCCTTTTGGTAACTCTTGCAACTCTCATATGATTGGTTTAGGAAAAATGAAGCAAATATGGGCTGTGCACTGTCCTGAATTATTTCCAGACCATATACTTTAAGGTTTGAAAGGAGAAAAAGATAAAGAGGTTTTTTATGGATAGGACCGATTTAGAAAAAGCAGAGAAATGCATAAATATAAAGTTGTATTGCTATCACTAGTCTTCACCTTTTTCAAGCTCATGAAATATGAATGTAGACGTTGGTTAAAAGATCTCAAAAACCAAAACACAAGACCCAGATCTAAAGAAATTTTAGACCTGATAACAGACTCATTGATATTAATCCATCTGTAAAGGGGTAAAAAAGTATTTTCAATACTTAAGAATGAACCAGCCTCATGTCCATTGTTCATAAATAGAAAAAAAACCTAAGAGTCTTGCATCCAACCAGGATTGACCAGGGGACCTGAATTACCACAAACCTACATTGATAGCTCAACCAAGAGGTCACAAAAGAAGCCAGAATAAGACCACAATAAAGGTGTCACTTCTGTTAATTAAGATTTATAGAAAGATGAGTTGGCTAGACTGGCATCCCCTTCATTTGTCAAAAAGCATTTTGATAATCTCCAAAATATTAGGAAATAAGTTAATAGACTGACACAATAATATTTGGACCTTTTGAGAGCTGTGCATCCTGTAATATCAATCATAAAATAACACAGGCTTTTAAAAATTAACATTAAACCATTGCTAGTGTAATAGTTTGTGGTTCCTTTGCTCTTGCACAACCTTAAACAACAGATTAAATGTTTCAACACCAAGATTGGCAAAACCAGATATCAGGAGTATGGGCCAATACTTTTTTCAGAAGTTGGTTTGGAAGACTAAAGTTAAGCCATTTTTTGAAGCTTCTTTTATTTTTTATGCATTCATGCAGATTAACTTTGTTAGATATAGAAATTTATTTTACGGCTTTCAACCTTTAAGTGTGACAACAACATAAAACATGAGAAATGAGATGAAATATAAAAAGAAAAAGGGGTCACATTGCATCCTGATTGGCAAAGTCAGGAAGAGGTCCCATTTGTAAACATATTGAAATGGTGAAATATTACAGTGGAACAGCTGGCAGCCATTTAGGATAAATTGTGTTTGATTAACAGCTTGATGTTGTTCTTATTAAATTCTCATTCTAATCTCTTTAACTGGATTTAGCAGCCACAGGTCAAATAAATCTTAAGGAATCAGCTTGCTTTTCCATATATTCCCCAACACCTCAAGTCAGGCTTCCTCTGCAGAACATGACCAAGTGTAAACCGCAAAGCAAAAAGATAAACCCAAGATTGAAAGTTCAAGCTGCATTTTATGCTTTCAAAACATCAAACATAACTAGAGTACTTATCCAATTATCCTTCCTGTTTTGGCCACAGGCCAGAGTCAAGCAAATTAAATGATTGTACTCTGAGGTGAGAGGCGAAGATGAAAGAAAAGCAAATGGGAGCTAATCCAATCATAATTTAAAATCAAAAGGGAATTCACATCTGCACTTTTCTTGTGCTTTTCACCCCTCCTGAGGAGTACAACTTATAAAACTAATGTTCATGTTTGCACAAAGGCGAAAATATCTTAAGTGCAACAAATAAATAAAAAATTATCTGAATCAACAAACTTCTTCATTTATACATACTTATCTTGCAAATACTCATTTCTTTTTTCTATTGGCTTCTTTCTAGCTTGCAGTAATTTTCACCCATTTCACAAAAAACTGAACTTTGAATAAAGAGGCACATACCCCACTTACATGGCCTCATCTTTTTTACTGTGAGTAGATGTGAAACTACAACAGTTACATTTTGCACAGCAACTTTAAATCTGACCCCTAATTCTAAAAGGAAAACATCCAATTTATTACACATTGATGTGGTCTGTAACAGCAGTTCCAACACACTAAACGAGTTATGGTTGGCAGTAATCCTTATGCTGATTGAGAATGAAAAGCTCAATATAAAGTAAGCTTTCAATCTAGGTTCGGATCTTATCTAAGTAGTCCAATTATTGGTTCATCACAAGACCAAGCTGATGTTTACTTTCCTGCAACTCTAAGCAAGAGTTCTGGGTTTCTGTGACCATTTGTAGTCAATCTGGAAGAAATAAGCATATTAGTGGCTGACCACAGTCCCGTTGCTCCCACGCTAAGGTCCCATGATGGGAGAACTGGGCTGTAATATTGGCCACCTCCCCAGAAACAGGGCCTGGGAACAGAGGCCTTGAGGTCAGCCTGCTTAACTTCTCTCCCTGTGGTACCAACCTTACCCAATATGTAGAATGCTAATATTCTATATATGAAACTAAAAGATTAACCTACTTAAACTAAAAACACAAAAAAAGCAGTCCAAAACATAAAAAACAAACTTTTTTTTTTCTTGAAAATATGACCTCAGATAGTTAATTGACTAATATAAAATACTATTCAGATGACACATCATATAGATTAAGTTTAACGTATCAGTCTTTACCAAAAATCGGATGTGATCATCACACATAAGATGATAAATAAGGGTGCTAAAGTGTTCTTGGACCAAAGCCAAATGCTAAGAGGCCTTGGTCCCTTTTGAAACGGGAAATTTATAGTGCTCACAAGGAGACACATTTCTCAAGTGGGATTTAAAGTAATTACATAAACTGGAAAGCTGCAATCACTGTCTGCAAGCGAGAGGAGGAGTGGGGCAGCTAAGGCTGGCTAAGAGAACAAATGATAAGATGTTAATTGGTGGGCAAGGTTACAGGGTACGTGTTGGCTACACATACAAAACTTAAAAGTTTATGTTGAGACAATTTGTGAAAAAATAAAGATATATTCTAAGCACAGAAAATTCTATTCGTTAAAACAACTTTCCATTCTGATCTTTTTCTGCCCTAGTTTGTTGTCATTTAAACAAAAAAAAAAAATAAAAAAACTAAACATTCACAAAACCTTTTAACAACTATTAAATCTTATGCTTTTCCATTTTCCATTTCTCTATACACTCTATTAGTTGCCCCGAGGACATGGAAGGGGAAAGGGGTTGAGCTGATCTCAATTTCATGCTGTTAGAGATTTAGCCGGCCCTCATTGGGAATGACAATGGAGAAGGTTGAATGCTATCAAGGGAAGTTCAGAGAATGACTGACAGTAAAGGTTAAAGTGGTGACAAGGGGAACTGGTGAGATTCTCACAGGTTGATTTCATACTCAGTGAGAATTGTAACATTTTAATGGGTAGTTATCTAAATTCAAAGTGCCTACAAAAAAAAAAAGTGGTGAATTAAACCTTTTTGTCGATTACTTGTTACAGACACAATACCTAAACTCACTATATGAGACTGACCATATTACCTTTGAATAATTACCAGTATTATTTCATGGCCTTGTATGAAAGTGAATTTAGGCAAATCTGAATAGTAATTCCTCTTCTTCATGCTCCCTAACAGGACGGTATTTAGCTAACACCTAACTAACAAATGATGTGTATCACAAACACATCAAGTCAAATAAAGAAAGATCATCAAACAGGTTGAAATTGTATTTGATCTCCTGCCAAATTTACAAAATATCTTTACTGATTTGGATGCTGCAGAATACGGTATACCGTAACTTGAAAAAGTATTCAAACCCTTTACATTTTTTTTTACTTTTGTAATTTTACAAGCACTATCCTCAGTTTGTTTAAAGTGGTGCATGAATAAAGGAATAAAGCTTTCCAAGTGTGTCGAACATCTGTGTTCACTTTCATTGTAGAACCACTCTACTGTGACAGATATTTATCAATAAAATTTAGGTTAGAAATGTTCTAAAAATAAATATGCTAATATTAAAAATACTTAAACTCGTTAAGGGTTATAACCCTCATGAGGATGAACAAAAAATTGTTTTTAATTTGTTTCTGTTTTCCATCAACTTCATCAGCCCAATGCAGAAAAGCATTCCCATAGTATGATGTGGCCCATATCATGTTTAACAGTGACAATGATGACAGGAAGATTTTGTTATCGGGACTGATTTACTTACATAGATTCAATGTCATTCTCAACTCTTCCCTAAGTATAGGAGCTCACTATTTTTCATGTTTCTTGGCTGTTTCATCTTTTCCATTGCAGCTTCAACATTGTTAGATAAATATTTTTGACTGGACTTTTTTGTTAGTTTATTTTTTTCCATTACAAAACAATTCTATTTTTGCTCCATCTCTGCCTCAATTTTGTCTGCATTTCATCCTCCACAACCACAGCCACTCTTGTTACAGCTTATTGGTTTCCATGATGCTTTTCATTCAATAACAAACATCTTAGGTCTTAGCAGACCACCTGTATTTATATACTTAGTTATAGTGCACAAAGATGGACCATGTTATATAAATGGTTAGAAAATGGTGCAGGAGTTATTCATGAAAACTTTTGAAAATCATGTACCTTGCACATCAAAATTATGCAGTGCATCATTATAAAATCATCATGCAAATCTGTGTTTGGAATGCCAAGCAATTTTAAAAGAAAAATCAAAAGGTAAGAATACTCTTACAAGGCATTGTGGATCATAATAAAACTGGGACTGTTTAGATATTGAGCATTTTAAGATACTGAAAAAATGTCTTCCCATCGAATCAAATGAAGCTTTATTTATAAAGCCCTTTTTATGCAATTATTGTAGTACAAAGGTCTTTCCAGAGTTAATAACATTACCCCATTTCCATCCAACATAGGTATGCATAATTTCATGTAACAATCCTAACAACTTAGGGAGATGACATCATTATATTAAGAAATACTAAACATTTTTGGTCTTTAAACTGTATAGGGATAAAAAAAATAAGAATGTATATGTTCCTGACACTTCAGAAAAGCTGAACTCTATGTGACTTCTTTAAAAACCATCCTAATAGGTTAACAAATAAAAGAAGAAAAAAGTCATGAATGTTAATCAGGAAGTCTCCTATTAAGCCTTTTCATCTTATAAAGACCCATTATTACACTAATACAATAAAAATCTCACACACATAAGATACAAAGACAAAAGATACCAACACAAAGACTACGACATAAAGTGTAAGACATTTTGACTTTGTTTACAGTATCACAAAAAATCACTCAGAATACAGAGCTGCTATTGCATAAATGGTCAAAATGTGCAACACGATCAAACTGTTTATTGTTAGAATATGCCAAACCAGATCTTTCAAAAACAGATCTAAACATTATAAAAAAAACGAAGAAAATAACTATGAAAGTGACTCAGAAATAAACTGAGGTTTTTAGAGAGTTTGTTTTGTGGTTCAGTTTCATAATCTCTTACCTCAAAAACTTCTTCATCAAGCAGCCGAGTTCCAAAAACAATGACCCCCTCGGTGCTGACCACAGCATTGTCCCCCCGCAGCAGATCCAGAGTTTGCACCATCTGGCAGTCCAAGTAAAGGGTCACAGTCTTGTTGAACACACTGTAGGCTATCCTATGCCATCTGAAACAGGAAAGGATTAACAGTTTAGGAGTATACTGTTCTGTCTGTTCACAGATCAAGCTGTATTTCAACTTCTTTCACATTTTATTTAGCAAGAAGACAAGAGAGCTATTTGACTGGGCTGTTCATTTTAAGCTAATCAAGTAAGCTGGGTAAAAGTAAACTGCAAAAACACAATTCTATATTAAGAGGTATGCAAATATTTAAATAATTAGCACATAATATCAAAATAACAAATATTTCTGTCAGATCAGTGGGTTTCAAATAGTCTAACTTATTATCTGACTCAGAAATAACAAAGAGAATAGGAGCCTAAACCCTCATACTACCCACTTTCCATCTGCCATGTTGATTCTCCTGAAAATAGGATAGAGTTGTGGGGTGGGCTCCCCATGCTGGTCTTCATACACAAAGACTGGGGACCGGCCCACCTCGATCCCCACTTGCTGCACCCCCTGGTCATCATACACTGAAAAAAGGAAGAACTGGGAACCCTTTTTAGCTCTGACGGTAGCCATCAGGGAAAAATCTTCAGGAAATCTGGAATCTGCAGATGGAATAGCAGAGAGGAGCGATGTTAAAAAATAAGGAGCAGGGCACAGCAGGGAGCTTGCATTTCATGCATGCTGCCAGCGACTCGGATAGGGATAATGATGAAGAATATTAAGCATGAAAGGACAGATTGTAGTAGTGGGAAAGAAGGTGGGGTTCTGTCACTTTTATTATCCTTTACTAAGACAACAACCACACACAAATTCTGTGCATTAAATGTTTAGAGACACTGAAGGAACTCATTGAGGATTTCATGCCTGAAGTGGATTAAGAGGATTTTCTGTATGTTGTAAAGTAAAAAAAAAAAGGTCTAGACGCTACCAGGGAATAGCTGTTTAGTGGGAGTGCTGAGTTGGATCTTTTTGATCTTGTAAGCCAGGTCTGTCTCCTCCGTGCCCCTCCTGCTGGTGCAGAAACCAGCCTCCAAGGAAACTCCCTCCATGCTCTCTGACAGCCCAAGCACTCGCAAAACATCAACAGGATCAGCTGGGAATGGAAATGGAGAGAAAATAAACCATCTGTCGCTGGTAATGGAACAAACTGAGGAAACACTGGGTTCTGTTATTTCATGCTCATACACTGTGGCAAATAAAGTTTTGTAGAAAAAGTAAACGCATTTTAATAGTTTATGTCTTGCTTTCCATTTCTCCCTTTTTACTTGCATGACAAAAGATCATAAGGCTTTTAAACAGAATGAAACTAGAATACTGTGTTTTATTTTTACGAATGTCAGCTTAAAACTCAAATTCTGCCATTGAGACAGCCCGCCATTTCTGTCTGGCTCGCTTTAATACTAGTTGTTACCGATCAGAGGAGCAGGATTTAGTGAGGCTGAAAGCTGGTTTTAAAGTATGGTGCCTTCCTGCTTTCTGTGAGCAGAAAAAGATGAGCTCCTCTGAGGCGGCAGGTGGAGGGGCTTCTGTGGATGTTATTATAGTATAGGGGGTGGTACAAAATCTAACCTGTAATCCTGCGACAATACACCTGACAGCTGACACCTGCTCAGTTCACAATGCACCAGCCACCAATGACACATCTGGATTCTATTTAGATGAATCTGAGGGGTTTATTCCCTGCTTTGTATGCCACAAATAAATCAATCATAAAGATAGATGCTCTTTCTAAGGTATAGGTGATCAAATAATGTTTATTGTAGTAACTGAAGCCTCTGAAGAAAAGGGCTTTCTCCAGTCAACAGTCTCCCTCCTTTCAATGAGCCTTTGCTTTATTTGCAATCCCCTGCTCATGTTATTAGATGTCTGCTGATAAAGTGCTGGCGTGAGCATTAGCCAGCATCGGAGCTTTGTGTGCAGCCAGTCTCCAACCAGCTGCTACAGAGAACTGTTCAGCACTTTGCACTGCCGACAACTGAAGTGAGGATCCTGCACCCAAACTGCCTCCTGAAACTCTTACTGCTCAGAGTTTCTTTTATTTTATTTTTTTGTTAATTAAACATGTGGGAAGAGTTTACCATTACCCATCTATATGACTTCATATATACATATGGGCAATATTTTTATATACAGGTGCTGGTCATAAAATTAGAATATCATGAAAAAGTAGATTGATTTCAGTAATTCCATTTAAAAAGTGAAACTTGTATATTATATTCATACATTACATACAAACTCATATATTTCAGATGTTTATTTTGTTTAATTTTGATGATTACAAATGACAACAAATGAAAATCTCAAATTCATCATATCAGAAAATTAGAATATTACTGAAGACCAATAAAAACAAAGGATTTATAGAAATGTTGGCCAACTGAAAAGTATGAACATGAAAAGTATGAGCATGTACAGCACTCAGTATTTAGTTGGGCCTCCTTTGGCCTGTATTACTGCAGCAATGCGGCGTGGCATGGAGTCGATCAGTCTGTGGCACTGCTCAGGTGTTATGATAGCCCAGGTTGCTCTAATAGTGGCTTTTAGCTCTTCTGAATTGTTGGGTCTGGTGTATTGCATCTTCTTCTTCACAATTTTCTATGGGGTTAAGGTCAGGAGAGTTTGCTGGCCAATTAAGAACAGGGATACCATGGTCCTTCAACCAGGTACTGGTAGCTTTGGCACTGTGTGCAGGTGCCAAGTCCTGTTGGGAAATGAAATCTGCATCTCCAAAAAGTTGGTCAGCTGCAGGAAGCATGAAGTGCTCTAAAACTTCCTGGTATGTGGCTGCGTTGACCCTGGACCTCAGAAAACACAATGGACCAACACCAGCAGATGACATGGCACCCCAAACCATCACTGACTGTGGAAACTTTACACTGGACTTCAAGCAACGTGGATGAAGTGCCTCTCTTCTTTTCCTCCAGACTCTGGGACCTTGATTTCCAAAGGAAATGCAAAATTTACTTTCATCAGAGAACATGACTTTGGACCACTCACCAGCAGTCCAGTCCTGTTTCTCTTTAGCCCAGGCAAGACGCTTCTGACGCTGTCTGTGGTTCAAGAGTGGCTTGACACAAGGAATGCGACAGCAGAAACCCATGTCTTTCATACGTCTGTGTGTGGTGGTTCTTGAAGCACTCACTCCAGCTGCAGTCCACTCTTTGTGAATCTCCCCCACATTTTTGAATGGGTTTTGTTTCACAATCCTCTCCAGGGTGCGGTTATCTCTCTTGCTTGTACACTTTTTTCGACCACATCTTTTCCTTCCCTTCGCCTCTCTATTAATGTGCTTGGACACTGAGCTCTGTGAACAGCCAGCCTCTTTAGCGATGACCTTTTGTGTCTTGCCCTCCTTGTGCAAGGTGTCGATGGTCGTCTTTTGGACAACTGTCAAGTCAGCAGTCTTCCCCATGATTGTGTAGCCTATAGAACTAGACTGAAAGACCATTTAAAGGCTTTTGCAGGTGGTTTGAGTTAATTAGCTGATTAGAGTGTGGCACCAGGGGCCATCAATTTTGAACCTTTTCACAATATTCTAATTTTCTGATATGATGAATTTGAGATTTTCATTTGTTGTCATTTGTAATCATCAAAATTAAACAAAATAAACATCTGAAATATATGAGTTTGTATGTAATGTATGAATATAATATACAAGTTTCACTTTTTAAATGGAATTACTGAAATCAATCTACTTTTTCATGATATTCTAATTTTATGACCAGCACCTGTATATTGTCAATGAGGCTCTTGTATAGCTTTGTAAGATAAAAGTTTGATTATCCTTTGCTGAAAAGTCAGCAATGAATAGTTATTTCTTGAGGTGCTGTTTGGAAAATTGCTGCCTAAAAAGAAGCAACATGGGACTCATTACACAGAGTTCACGAGAATATACTGTAACCGCCGAATTATAGCACCTGACAAAATAACGTTAATCTAAACTTACAGGATTATCTGTTAACCAGCTATTTACCAGCAATGGCATCACTGTGCAATTGCTGTATCATTGAAGTTAGAAGCTGCTTGATAAGTTTGAGGTATTGAGGTATGTAATGAAAGATCATTTTCATCTGACACACATATATTATTGAAGGACCACGCTATCAGAATACACAGTTGAGCCACAGAAAGACAAGCAGCAGACTCTCAGATAGCTAATCACATTACCTACTTAGACAAACATCTGCAAATAGATGTGCATTGAATCATATGAAACATCCCATGTAAAAAAACAAACAAAACAAAAAAGTATGAATACGGGTTAGGGGGTTGCAGAGGACATGGACTGTGTAGATGTACCCCTAAAAGATTTTGATGCAATGTGAAAAGCTTACTAAAACCTTTTCACCACTGTAAAATATATCAGCCTATTCCACACAAGAATCAGAATTACAAAAACCCCAGAATAACAGCCTGCCTTTAGAAGTTTGGGTACGTGCAGCTATCAGTGTAGGAACGATATCTTTTCCATTCTTATGCTCAATTAAATCACTGTGAGTTATATAAATTCTAGCAACTTCTTTACTTTCCTGAAGCATTGACTGTCTGAACAAGTTTCACTTGCATTTCATTATTCTTTTTTCCTGACATTACCCCTTAAATTATATACTGTGGAGAGTCTTAGGAAGGTTGAATAAGGATACAAGGGATAAAAATCTTTAAAAATGATGGAGTTCTATTGATAAACAAGCTGTGCATGAAGCCATGGAGCTGCATGATGGAAATTTTATGAAGTCTCCAAGGACCCGGGTGTTTTTCAACTACATGCATATGTCAACATACTTGGGAAAGGTCTGGCTTTTTCATACATGTCTAGTAAAACAGTGTGACTTAACATGGAGAAAATACACAACTAAAAATGTAAATGAACTGCAATAAGACAGATTCCTACTTTTGGAACACTTTTTTTTTTCCCTTTGTCTTTTTGTCTGTAATTTAACCAAAAGCATCAGGAAGCAATAAAAAAGAGATAGAAAAGCTTTATTAGACAGATAATATTTGAGCAGTCCATCTTACAGATGAACCCTGTCCCTAAGAACTGATACCAAACAGTCTTTTTGAGTCTGCCTTATGACATTACCCATTCTCTCTTTGCCCTGCAGCTACAAAACCCAACTTAGCAAAATTTCACTCATTAGAGGACATAATAATGAGTAAAATACTTGCATGTGATTCTAAAACAAAATCTCTAGATACATCCTTTATGACTCATACCACCTACACTCCAAGCCCTGCCTGAGAAGACCCCCTCATACAGAGACAATACAACACTGTCAGAAGTGATTACATCTGGGAACTGGGGGATTTTAACAAGAAATGAAGCCAAAAAAGAAATTTGTACACATATATATATATATACTCCCATCTTTTCTTAGGCCACATCCTGGAATGAGAGTAGGAGAGCAACTGACATTTAAACGTAAATTATTTAAGATGTACAGATATCTTCAACAAGCTATAAAAAAAATACATGCTAGCACAAGAAGAAATAAAGAGCAACTCTTTGAAAATAAAACTCCATAAAAAGTGCAGCAGAAAGATAATTTATTCAAAGAAGGTTCAAGGGTGCCAAGTGCTAAAAGACGGTGATTAATAATGAAAATTGATGTAAGAACTAGTGCAAGTGGTTGAATAAATCCAGACGCATTTTCTCTCAGGCACGGGAAGATATAATTTAATTAGAACAGGATGTGAACCTTTGTCTGGGTCACATCTGTGTGCAGACGAGAACACTAAGAGAGGAGTTAAGGGGAACTAATACATGTAACACGGATTGAAAAGTTTTTAAAAAATCAAATAAGATTGACAAATTGTAAACATGAGCTGCATCTCTATCTTTGTCTAGCTTGATTAAGACAGTTGCAGAGGAAGAAATAACACATTAGCATTTTATCAAGTCAAAGCTACTCCTGAATTTCTGTGTTGTTTCATATGTGATCCACCAACAAATGTGGATAAATTTTACCAAGGTCTACTGTAAACAAGAGAAACATAAAAAAAACCCTCTGCTTTGAGTTTTGAATAAGGCAACATATTGAAGCTACAATGTTATTAAACTGTATGTGTGCAATCTATTACACAAATCTATTTTTCAGCAAATATATGTACGACTAGAATTATTATCTTTTATATTGTGTAACTAGAAAAGACACAAGATTTAAAATCAAATTTACAAGGATCTACCAAACAAAAATACTGTTGAAACAGAAATTATAATAGATCAGTGTAAATAAAAAGAATAAGGTCCAAACACATGTTCAGTGCTTAAGTCAAATAATTTATCCAATATTTGCATTAAGATCTTTGACTGTATGAAATGTTTGGCAGATTTTAAACTCACTTGTCGAAATAAGTTATTTTAAAAGTATCTCATTCTGGAGCTGATTCTGATTTGATTCAAACGCTTACAACAAGAGCCATAAATAATACATAAATAATGTATCTTTTTAGGAGAGCTTTAATGAATGTGGGTCAACTGCTATGTTCTGTTGTTGGAGCTACCAGTTCCACACCCACATCAGCAAGTTGTTTGGTGTTGAAATAAGAAAACTTATAAGGAATCTGGTTACAGGATTCCTTCCAGTTCACATCAGCACCACATTCTTCAATCTTCACAGTTTTTCATGACCCATTTTGTTTCACAGCAAGATGAGCTGTCAGGCCAAAAGCTACTTGGCCCAGGGAGAGAACACCTGCCCCTCAAGGCCTTCAACTAAACAGCCGCTCCTCAGAAAAAAACAGATTTAAACTTCTGGTCATGTGAGAACCTTGCTAAACAAATGTACATCCTTGCTGCATAATTCCAGGGGCATGCTTAATGTTCAAACCAACTGACAAGAGTTCATACTGCATTAAAAAGCTAAAAAGCATCCCAGTTTCTCACCAAAACGAAAGGCAACATAAATAAACAAGTATTCATGGAGTTTCATGCAAAACAGATGCAATGGATTGAGTCATCTTTCATCTCTTTGTTCTTCCACCTTTCCACAGAGCCAGACTGGGTACTGTCGCTGCTCTTAACAGTCAAACACAGGGCAACACGCAATCAAAGGACAAACAACCACTTCATTTAGGGCAATTTAAACCATACAATTAAACTGACAATATCAGATAAATATAAAGGTAATATTGGTAAAAGGGAACATGAAGACATTATTTGTATTAAATAATAGGTGAGAATTATCGCCTTTATGGTTAAATTTATAGCAAGCACTGACCCATGTAAAGAATTGTCTGTACAGCTATTCGAAAAAGAAAAGAAGATATATATGTCCCGATCCTATATTAATATCAGATATCAATCTGATATTAGCCAAAAAAATAATATTGGATTACATCATCTGGGATCTAAAATCTCTCATATTTCCATGCTGATAGAATCACTCTGCTTCTGTGTAAAGCAGGCATGCCCAAAGTCGGTCGGTCATGAGGGTCACTATCCTGCAGGTTTTAGAGACTTCCTTGTTTCAGCACAGCTGATTTCCATTTATAGCTTATTAACAGGCCTTTGCCAAACTGCAATAATCAGAATCAGCTGTGCCGAACCAGCGAAACATTGAAAACCTGTAGGACAGTGGCCCTCGATGACCGACTTCGGGCATGCCTGGTTTAAGGTGTCTGTAACTCATTGGTTAATATTAGATGAGTCTTTTAATTTCATAGCTTTTGTTGTTGACAATCATTCTGTTTAGTAAAATCCATAGATCAAGTTTTTTCAAACCTTCTAAAGTACAAAATAAGTAATAAAAGTGTGTATGATTGGATTTAAGTCTCAAAGTGGCAATATCTGTATCATATTGCAAATGAAATAGCTGTATCAGGACATCCTAATATTTACATATAAACATTAACTCTTTATGCAAGAAGATGCTTCTGCTTTCACTTTAAAAAGATTTAAAGTATATTGCCTTAGTACCACACAGCAAGAAGGCCTCCTCCGACTCTAAGCAATCTAATCCATATCCTCAAAACATATATGCTGCGACTACAGGATCTATGAACTAAGTACAGTCGGGAGAGGGTATGCAAGTCTCTGAGTAAATAAAAAAACAGTGCAATTACTGCTGCTGGAACAAGCTCAAACAAAGATTGCTGTTTTGCTTTTTTTTGTTTTTCAGAGCTTCTGCCAGCTGTAAGTAAACTGTTTATTTAATTGTTTTATTACTTGCATAAGTTCAAGTCTGTCTTGTCTGTATTTGCACAAAATAGAAAGCTTGTGTGATAAATATTTTTTACATTATTGCTGCATTGCCACTCAATTTATGTTACTATTTAACCACTTTGGCTTGTATATTTCCCAAGGTAGATGTGTTTTCCTTTGCCACTATGTCTCTATCAGCCTTATTAATGGCGTTCCCTTCAGATTGCTGAATAGTTTCAACCAAAAATGATCCAGCGTCAATCTTGATCCGACAGAGAGGCGTTGCAGAGGATGGCCAGGAGTCTGCATCGCCTCCTTCTCTCCTAAGCACTCCAATTATAATAGAATAGAATAGAATAGAATAGAAAATCTCTTCATTGTCCCACAATGGGGAAATTCTACAGTGAATCGTTTTGACATCATTATATCTATCTTTTCGTCTGATTTGCCACCACCAAATAGATATTTGATATTTTTTTCCACCCTATTTCATTCACAGAAAAATTGCATCTAAATCTGCATCTAAAAATATCATATCAGTGTTTTATGCAAGTAAATATGCTGCTACAAGCCTTTATTTTTAATAGTTTTGACGAAAGATATACAGATAAAAAAGTTTTCATAATAATCCATGTGTTTTCAAACGGAGTGTTTCAAATTTGATCTCTACAGTGGTGTGCACTGGGTTATGGACTCGGATAAAAACACAGATGACATGAATGGACACTGCACAAAAGAGAGATTCACCTATGTTTGCTCATTGCAATTCTACAATAAGCATTTCCTACTAGTCCCAGAAAAAGCTGCTTGAAGCTTTCAATGATCAGAAGCTCACAGTCGTAGAACCCTGAAGGGAAGGAAACTTCTGGAAGCCAGATGGGGAAAAAATACTATAGAAGGCAATTTGGCACCACAACATGTCAAAGCATCACTTTTACATATTAAAGACTTGGTGGTGTTCCAATTAGTTTTGCTCATCAAAAAGTCTAAGATGCAGTTTGATGTGGTTTCTAGCGCAGTCCTGCACATAAGTTCTACTTGTGCTAAAATCTCCATTTTCTGTATTTAAACAGTGCCAAATTAGGATGACCTTATCATTTGTTTTCATTTCCCATTAATTTGTTCTTGGATCAAAGGAAAAGCGGTCTCTCTGTAACCTGGGAGTTGGCGGTTGGATTGGCAAGAAGACTGGATCAAACGGGACTCCGCAGGGGGCCTGTATGGACTGTTTTTCCTTGTTAATGAAGGACAAGACAAGCATAAGTAGTACAGGAGGAGGACCAAACCATAAACAAGGAGACAAGGCAAAGAAAAAAAAAAACTCTCCATTTTAACACTTTGAAAGAAACAGAAAAAAAACAAGCAAAAAAGCATAGGATTAAGACTAAAGTGAACTGTGAATGTGTGCAAAAATGTCTCACTTCCTGTCTGTAAACATGACTACAAAGTCCCCTCTCTTCTGTCTCAAATGCGCATATGGGAAAGCATTCTACCACTAACACACACATATTGATGCAGACCATTCAAAGTCTGAGGGACACAAACCTATTATAAACTGCAAGCAGAAAAGTAAGGCTGCATATCAGCACAGCCACATGTGCTGTGTACTTTGAAACTATCTGAGCGCACAAAACCCTTATTAGCTGTGGACACAACAGCCACTATGTGCCACTTGAATATGATCAGGTCAGCTGGCTCACTTCCATGTTCCATCACTTCATTTCAGCCAGTAAGCAACAAATGCCTCATGCCATAAAAGCTCTCTAAGTGATAACCACTCCTGCTGTTGAGACATGTTGCTCCATCAGGGGTCTCTTCACAGAGGCCCCTGTAAAGGAGGTAATCTACACCTGTTAAAAGAAAGCACCGATAACCATAAGCTGCAAGGGTGGAAAGCAGCAGCAAACCAAACGGTAGGTGTTGTATATTGCAGAAGGGCACTGATGGAGGCAGCCACCAGATTTGTTCCCTTGCAGGTGCATTGCAAAAAAAGGAGTTATTGCAAGCAATTAAGCTACATCTGCAAAATATGATTTGAGGCAATTGCATGAAACACGTCAAACTTTCAGATTCATCAGCCTAATAAAGACTATGTCAGTAAAGTTTGTAAATTCTTAGCACTTGATGATAAGTATTTTACAAGGAGGAGGAACATTAAACAGGTCCATGACTGGAATGTTAATCTACTCTGTTCCTTTCAGAGTTCAACCACTCATCTTAGTTCACAGACCGACGCTAAACCTTTTCACGGTAAACCGACGCCGGTCACAAGCAAACTCAAACATGACATCACAGCCTGCAGCGCAAAGACGCAGAAGCATCACCCGATGCGTAAAGAGTTCATCCAGATTCAAGCCTTAGCGTATCATATTACATTAATATGCAAATAAAGCACACAAGCTGATTTAATAATAATATGTTTGCTGAATTGATTATTTTGAACGGAATTAGTTATTTGCGCTGATCTGGTGGGCTTTGAGAGAAACTGAAGGCGACCACAAATGAACCACCCTGTAGAACAAGCTGCGGTCTCCAAGATGTTTACGCAGCATAAAATGATTGCAATCAGCTTTGGATTTCAGTTTAAAAGTGAAACTTAAAAGAAAAGTCAAAGATCATACTTTGGGGCTAACATATATGGTTGCTTCAGGGTAAAGTTAGTCAAAGTAATGCTCGCAAAAAGTCTCATAAACTTGGATAGCTCCAGACAGGGGCTGAAGAAACTTTCTATGGTTCTTTAAAAGTAAACAGATTATATTAATTATGTCACAATATGGGCTTAATTTAATACTTTACCAGCTTTAGCCGCAGTTAGATGAAGTAGTATAAAAATAAATAGCGGTATTCTTCTGCGCGACCTGCTCCTTATGAAGTGGTCCATCCTTCAGAGCCACGACCCCGTCTGCCCCCGCACCCAGAACTTTATAGGCTGCTGCAGGATCTCTGTTTGTTAGAAACTAGGCAGCCATTCGGGGGTGGAAAGGCGTTCAGTCTTCCCACTTCCTTGATTGTTGGGGAAGATTTTATTGTGATGGTTTTCTCACTGGCCCTGTGTCCCTCTCATTCAATCTCTCCCTCTCATCATCACTCCAACCCTCTGCTCTCCACCTCTTCCCTCCCATAGGGCGCACGGATGAATGGTGCGCAGCAGAAAACCCCCTCATAAATCAGGCTTATTCGTTCATGCAATTTGTTAGGTCTCCTATCTTTGCCATTGCTATCAAGGGTGCTGTACAACTGCATCTATATAAGTTACGATACTGTCGAAAGAAGTTTTTTTGTTTTTTGTTTCAGTGATTCTGTTCAAAACTGTAGATGCATTGCTTAAACAATGATAAATCCCAGGCTTTGATTTGACTTATTAGTATGAATATTTGTTTTATGATTTTATCATAACACTTACATTACAAATATAAAAATCCCCCAACTCAACCCTCAGGAAATCAATGCATGTCATGAGACCCACAGAAAACACATCGCAAGTGATTTCCTAAAGAATCAGATGGACTTATGATTTGTCAGTTATCCAGCAAGATTAATAAGGATGGTCAGCCTCAAAATGTAATTGCTAAAGAAGCTGGCAGTTCACATGATAACCTTTTCAGAGATTTGGATTTCCCAACATGACTTGGCACCTGCCCACACTGCCAAACTAACAATGCCTTCCTTAGTGATTATGGTACCCTTGTGTTTCACTAGCAAACTGGGGTGACCCCATTCAGAATCTATTAATTATTGTCCAGAGGAAGAAGCAATGTCATATCTAACAATACTAAATAGCAAAATGTTTTTATTAAAGCAAATTACAGCGGGTGAAATAAGTATTTAACATGGCACCATTTTCTCAAATCAATTCAATTCAGTTTATTTATATATAGTAGCGCCAATTTACAACACATATCATCTAAAGGCACTTTCCGCCAGATCATACAGTCAAATTGATTCAAAGTTCTCAATCCCTCACACTAAGCATGCTTTTAGCGACAGTGGAAAGGAAAACCTCCCTTTTAAGCCGGGCATACACTGCGATTTTTTTCAATCGCTCCAAAGAAGAAGAATCCTTGTTTGCACTACACAATGCACGAACAGGCTGAAAGTCGGGCTGATCAGAAAATTCTCAAAGTCGCCCCGGAAAGGGCAAAATAATCAAAAAAACCTCCAGCAGAACCAGACACACAGTGAGTTGCCATCTGCCGAGGCTGACTGGGATTCAAGGGGGCAGAAGGAGACATAGAAAAATATAATTCTAACGGTCCTATTGACATGATATTTTCACCAAATGTAACAATCCATGCAATCAAAACATAAAAGTAATCAAACTATAGACATCCAGAAATTAGATTCAGGGACAGATTTACCATTAGGCAAAACGGGGCAGTTGCATCAGCTCCAAGTTCCTGGGGGGCCGAATAAAACTCAGTTTATATGTATGGTTAAAACAGATATTACTTATTTGTGCACATTAATTATGTTTTCCATAAAAATCCTTTCGTTGAAATGCTTATGCCTATAATATCAAGTGTGTCTTAGGGCCCCCCTTTCAGAGTCCACGACATGCGCATGTGCAGAAAGGTCCAAACAGACAGCAGCAAACCATTTGAAAACAAACTGTGCAAAGAGCAGTGTTGCCAACCAACTTAGCACTTTTGTGGCTATATTTAGCGGCATTTCAGACCCCTCTAGTGCTTTTATTTAAAAACAAAAAAAAAAATTGTCTAGCACCAAATCTAGCAACTTTTTTTCTGTTACTAGAGACCCACCTCCTGCTCTCCTCTTTCGAAATATACAAATTGGGTGATGACATCATCTGGTGCTTTCTAGCGCCTTTTAGGACGGCCAGTAGCAACGTTTCTTGCTGGGAAGTTGGCAACACTGGCCAACAATTAATTTGAAATGGATGTGCCTCATTTATGTAATATTGTAGAAGGATTTATCATTTGCTTTAGATGGTCATGAGACAATGCATTTATTTATTTTTATTTCTCAAGAGTGCTTGGTTCGGAGAGATTTGTGGATTTGATTTGTTGAGACAGTCCCTAAAAGAACCACTTCTGGTAAGAGAAGGGAGTAACAGAGAGCGGCTGACTGAAGTCCGAGCTCTTGAATCGGGTCGACTGTGAGATAGGTGCCACTAACTCAGTCAAGCTTTAATATCCAGCTTCAAACTAACTTCCCCTCCAAAATTCATAGCAGATTTCAGAAGCAGCCTTTGAGTTCAAAAAGTTATTGTTCTCCGCACATCCCATACTGCTGAGTTTGTTCTATATTATGGCATTTTGAAACAACTTTGTCAACAACAACCAGCGCCATTGCAGCCACCCAAAATCCTGCAGGCAACTGTTGAGACAGCTCAGTGACAGAACTAGGGTGCTATTTATTTGTTCGGATATCAAAAAAATATACTTTGAGATATCTTGATTATAATTCTGAATGTGTTACACTTTAAATGATGAATCGGGTGACGTCATTTGAGATATCTCAAAAGGAATTTTGACTCTCAAAAATTTGATTGAAGATATCTTGAATTATTAATTTCACTAGACAGAATTCAATTTCAGATATCTTTATGTATCATTAAGGATAGTCAATTTTTTTGTTTTGTCTATTCTATTAGAATTTCTATATCTGTATAATGGGTCTGTTTTATGTGTTGTCTTCTCAATTCAGAAGGCCCCATGCCTGTCTTTGCCCAGGCCCCAAATTTCCTAAATCCGCCCCTGATTAGGTCATGTGAAATTAAGGGGAATTAAACGGGAGAAAAGTATTGAACACACTTACTAGAATATATACATTTAATTCTTTGTATAAAAGTCTTTGTTAGCAATGACTGCTCCAAGATTCCTCCTGTATGGAGAAATTAGTCAGATTTATTGCTCTGGTATGATTTTGGCCCATTCTTCCACACAAATCTTGAAGTTTTTGTGGGCTTTTTCTATGAACTTTGATCTTTATTTCTTTCCATAGATTTTCTATTTGATTCAAGTCTGGTGATTAGCTGGGGAATTCTAGCAGCCTTATTAATTTCTCTAAAACCAATTGAGAGTTTCCTTGGCTGTGTGTTTGGGTTTATTGTCTTGCTGAAATGTCCACCCATGTTTCATCTTGTTCATCCTGGTAGATGGCAGCACATGTTTATCAAGCATGTCTCTGTAAATCTTTTCCATTCATCCTCCCTTCAATTATTTGAAATTTGCTAGTACCATATGCTGAAAAACAGCCCCACGCCATGATGTTCCCACCTCCAAACTTCACTGTTGGAATGGTGTTTTTTGGGCGATGTGAAGTGCCATTTGAGCTCCAAATATCATGTGTATTATGGCATCCCAATTCTCCCTGTGTTTAACAGGCTTCTCAGAATGTTGTGCAACAAACTTTAAATGAGCTTCAACATGTTTTTTCTTCAGCAATGGAGTCTTGCGTGTTTGACGTGCATACAGGCCATGGCGGTTGAGTGTATTGACTATTGTTTTCTTTGACACAACTTTACCTGCTAATTCCAGGTCTTTCTGACCACAAGTGGTCTTAGCTGTTTGATAACGCTTCAGATAATTATTTTCACCCCGTGTCAGAAATCTTGTGAGGAGCACCTGGTCAAGGTCGGTTTATGGTGAAATTGTTCTTTCCACTTCCGGATTATGGCCCCAGCAGTACTCACTGTAACATGAATGGGAATGTCTAATCTTTTCAGATCTAATGTATAAGAGAATCATGTCAATAATATTGAAAGATAATTTGCATTTGAGACTTGATAAAAATGAAAACAGAGTTAAAAACAAGTAAGAATTATAAATTTTTCATCTAAAAAGAAACCCCCCAAAATAATGTTGGATGATATGCAGGACTCTGAAAAAAAGAGTGTTGTTGTTTCAAGATGTAAAAAAAGAGGATACTTAGGGAAAATAGGTTACATGAGTCACCAGAGGAAAGCCATTACGAAGCAAATGCCACAAAGTATCCTGCTAAATATCCTAAATAGCAGAGAGATGAGCTTTGCATTTCTGGAACAAAGTCATTTGGAATGATGAGAGCAAAATTTGACCTTTTAGCCACAGCCATAAATGTTACATTTAGAGAGATGAAAGAAAAACCATTCTTACTGTGAAGCACGGAAGAGGATTGCTGATGTTTTGGGAATGTGTGGGCTGCAAAGGCACAGGAAACTTTTTCCAATTGAAGGCATGATGCATGTTATGGGAAAATATGAGGAAAATATGTACTCATCAGCTCAAAAGCTGCGCTAAGGACGTAACTGGATGCTCTGGCATGAAAACAATCCAGAAAAAAAGGGACAAGTCAACATGCCATTAGCTACAGCAGAACAAAATAAAGGTTCTGGAGTGGCAACTATTATCAGCAGTGGTGCTGTCAATATCACTGAGCCACTTTTGGTAAATCTCAAACATCCAGTTCAGGCAAGATAGGCTAGATTTTCACATCTATGTTTTGTTTTTGTTTGGGGTTTTTTTTGTCTTGGGTGGCCTTAGCATTATATACTAGCTTCCATCTCACACTCTACATTGACCAGCTTTAGGTCATTATTCATCACTTTGTTAAAGAACTGTCAGTAACTTAAAATAAATTATTCTTAGTGCAAAAACTACAAATAAGTTCTACATTTTCATGTTTACAGTGTGTGTAAAAATATCATATAAGGAAAATATCTTGGAACGCTGGGGAAAACAGGGCCTGGTCTGCCTGCAGTCAATGTGTCTATCTCCTATTGGAAATGTGTTTTGCATCAGGATGAGGAGAATAAAGTTATGCTACCCAGAGACTACTGAAAGGCTGAAATTATGGATTTAGTGAGAATCGACATACATATTTCTCAAGAAAAACGGCAACTCTCAGTGGCACTATTCTTCAAACGATTAAAAGGAAGAATAAACAGAAGAGAGGATTGAATTAAACAGTGAACATGTCTTTCAGTATATTTCCTAAAAAGAAAGGAGTGAAAGCGGAAATGAATTTAAATGAATATTTAAATCAACCTTTTTTAGAAAAACCTAAACTGCACGGCAGGAAACAGGAATAATAGGGAGAAAACTGCAGAACCGAACAAAAGATATAACCTACTACAGTAGCCCGCTTATTGTTCAATAATGGCATTGGCATTGTT